GCTGGGCCAATGGAAGTGAAAGTCTGATGACATGGAGGCCTGACCTCAAAATAGTCAACATTGAGGAAGCATTCTGAGGCACAATAATATAGCTGGCCCCATGAGAGAGAAAGTCTGATGTCATGGAGGACTGAAACTTTCTGTGACAACCAGAATAGACATCACTGAGGAAGCATTCTGAGGTACAATATGTGGCTGGGCCCATGTCATAGAGGCCTGTGATTTTTTATGACCGCAGAATAAAACCACTGAGGAAGCATTCTGGGGCCCATGGGAGAGAAATCTGATGTCATGGAGGCCTCTCATTTGCTAATAATTTATATTTGAATTTTATTATTTGATTTTTATTTTCTAAATCTTGAGTGCTTTTGAATAGGATTTCCTGTTCAAAAACTTAGTTTGAAACTGTTTTGTTAATCACTGCTCCACAACAAGGTACTCTAAAAATTATTCACTAAAGTTAGTTTAGTCTGGCACAAGCCCACAAGTGTGGAGCACTCAGTGAGAACCAGACTATTCCCTATGACTATCTTGTTAATTACTCTACAGCAGTGTTTCCCAACCTTTTTACAATCAATGCCACCTTTAGACACAAACATTTTTGTCAATGTGGAGTCAAATTAAATTTTGAATATTATACTGAATTCATCTCTCATAGCAAGATAACATTTAGGTATGAGTGCAAAAATAATTTTAATATTGTTTTCATTTCTATTATAAATGCCAATGATAAAAATACTAAAAAAACAACATTTATTTGATAGCTTATCTCTATGTTTTTAATGTGATGGTTGACTTTGGTGCTTACTGGCTGATGTTCTTACTCTAGATTCCATGCTGCTTAAAAGTAATCATAAATCTCCTCATTTTGTAATTTGAAGGCAGTTTCTTTATTTAGTAGGAAGCTGTGTAACTGCATTGAAACAACATTCAACCAAAAAGAAGGTTAGAAAAGCAATGAAGAAAAGTTTGATAGTTTCCCCACAGCATTCGATACCTTTCAAAAATTTCCTTTTTTAGCTAATATTGAATAATTTTTGAAAATTTGAAAACACATGGATAAATGCCCACTGAACCCCTTGAGTATGTTCACTACCCCCAAATTAAATAAAAACTCCCAGTGCCCCCTTTCAAGATAACAAAGTTCACAAGGAAGTGCTAGTTAACACTGCTCTACAGTATGTTGTCCTTTTACTAAACTTAACCTAATGTTGCACAAGGCTGAAAAAAGATATATAGAAAGATGGTGTTAAATTAATCTACTAACTGGGAAGGTTTTGGTTGCTTAAAAAAAATCAGCATTTCAAATACTGTTTTTTTTTTTTTTTACCTGTGTTTGAACACTGTCCTCTTGTGCTGAACAACAAGATGTAACTCTCAGCCATGTTGATTTTTTTTCAAATGCAGCCAAATGAAAAATTGTTTCTTGCCTTCTATGAAATTAAATCAATAACTTTGTTATCTCCAACTATTCTCCTTTAATAATATCAAGGCTACTTTAAAATCCAAACATTTGATCCCCTTAGTAGAAGCTTTATTAACTTGCATAAAGATTATCCGCTTATCTCAAACACATGCCCTTCTAAATCCCTAATCCATTTTGAAACATTTCATTAAGAATTATATGCACTTAATATTGTCCTTATTTCACTGTTGATCATATTTTCACACCAAGGAGAAGAAGGTTGGTTCTGTGTTGAAAAAAGATTATGTTTTACAAAGAAAAAAAATCAAAATTTATAATGGTTATTGATTAAATATCAACATTTTATGCCCAGTGGACTAAAAGATATATTGATGCTAATTTTAAACATTATATGTAGAATATGGGGCATGATAAGTGTAGATTATAAATATTATAATGTGGGGCATGATGATTCTAGAGCAGTGGTTCCCAAATGGTGTTGCACATCATAAGAGGTTAGCAGGTAAGGCGGAAGAAGATAGCAGGTGAGGCAGAATAATTGAAAGATAATCAAAGATTTAAAAACATTTTTAAAAAATTTATATGCCAAAAATAAATATGATTTCAAAATATAAAATATTATTATGGATTACTTGTAATTGCATGCATGACTCCCAGTATAAATTGTTATAAATGATTATTGACTGATTTTATCATTGTGATATTTTTGCATTCTATCAAGTATTAAGAATATAGTAATTAGGGTCTGCAAATTGGTGGAGAAAGTTATCACTGATAATATTCTGAGTTCAAATCCCAAGTTATCTCCCTTTAAACTTCTCTGTTTTTTATTTTTTAATGTACTTTTTATCACATAAAATTTGGTGAGGCAAGAATGAATTTTCATTCCAAAAATGTGGCTCAGAGAAAAAAGAGCAGAGGTCCTCACCCAGAGGGGAATTTCAGGGTTTCCAGATTGTTTTTTCTTTTTTTTTTTATTTATTCTTGATACAAGACCGTGATGGTTGATGTGATAGACTCATGAATATCCGAGCTAATTTGATTGAATAAAAATAATAATGTCATTGTCAAGAAGTATTCGTCCATGTATTCCATCTCTGAACAGCCAAAATATGGCTTGTCACACATACTCCAAGACCCACCATGCCACATACACTGGGTCGACCCATCCTCATTCCCTTCGTATTCCATTGGTAAGGAAGAAGTTCCACTCAGCTTCTTCCCCAGAACTCTTATTTTGTGGGATAATCCCCTAAAAAGGATGCTTCCATGACTACTATGACGTTAACCTCTTCAACTCTAGACTCAATCATTATCCTACATACCTTTCGATAACATTCAGCAACCCTCTATCTTGAGTGGCGCTTGGGCCTAATATTAGTCAACAATAGTACAGGTTGCAGCAGAAATACCAAATACTCCAACAAAATATATAATGGTAACACATTAGTTGCAATAGTGTCTTCATCTAGCTAATGTGAGGGGTAATTTCTGCAGCACCCGGTACACAAGAAAAAAAAATCAGTCTAAACTGTTGAAACACACTCGTTAACTAACTAATTCACCAAGTGTCAATGAATGAGATTATTTTTCCACATAGAGTAATTCAGTGACACATCACTGTTTTATATGCACTTCCATGTCAGATGCCATTTTGCCACTCAGCTGCTATCTGTAACAAGGCATTACTTTCAGAGCACTCCTTATAATACAACCACTCCTCACTTAATGGCTTACCTGTTTAACAACCTCCTCTTGAACTTATAAAATCTCATAAAATAAACATTTTTAACAAAATCCAACCAGTTGGTATTGTATATTGTACAAAAATCTTGATTATGGAAATAAAATATGTATATAAAAGGAATAAATAAAATGAAAACTAAATAAAAATTTACTTGTACTGTATTTACAATATGCAAAGTGAAGTAGTATACAGAATACAGAGCTGATTTTTTAATTTGTTTAATTATGTTCACAGTTCAGTACACTTTGGAGAAAATGGAAACCAAGAGGAAACTTATTCTTAACATCAGGAAGAGGCAGTGGAAATTGTTAGGGCATGTAATGAGGAAGGAGGGCTTGGAAAATCTGATACTCACAGGACAGATAGAGAGAAAGAGAGACAGAGGAAAACAGTGCATAACATACTTGGTGGACTTGAGTAAATGGATAATAGAATAGGGTTTGGGAAAAATAACAAAAAAACAAAACTTACAAGGGACAGGAAGATGTGGAGGGCCATGATCACCTATGTCCTGAAGGCACATAGCACACAAAAGAAGACATTATAACCCTCTATGGGTTATTTAATGCTGAAATGTAAATATTTTGTACTTAATCTTATACTTTCATAGTAAAGGTTTTTTTTTTAGATACATATGTGATGATGCAATTCTGCACATCACTGCACAAGCTGTGATGGTATCCAAGGTCAGCTGTATGTGAACACACCGGCATTTGCAATGTTCCACAGATTCGTCTCAATTATGGCCGTAAATGACATTAACAAAGAAATAAGGACCAATGCTTTTCAAAACCTCTTGTTGGATCAGGAAATAGCAAAAAAAATACGATTTTACACTTAATTGGCAATGTCTTCTTTCTGCTTCGAGAAAGCGAACATCTGGTATCTGACTTCTCCATAAGTTTCCTCCATGGAAAACAGACCCCTACACACTCACTGCCTGCCCATTTCACTGACAGCCCCTTCACTCACTGTCTGATTTATTATATGGATACTGGCTGGGGGATCTACCACCTCTTTCTGTCCACTCATGTTCCACCAACGCGAAAGGAGGACCACCCAGACAGTTTTTTGGTGGTCAGTTTTTTCAAAAAACTTTTCAAATATGGTTATCTAAAATCACTAACAAAATTTTGTTCGTCAATTCAAAGGTGGGCTGGAGACAAGATTCCTGAGAAACTCTGGTCATTAAATTAACTTAAAAGGAAAAAGAATCTATCTATTTATTTTCTAAGGATGTGTGAGAAATCATATTGCTACATATATATTTTAGATCATAAAATATATTGTTGGTAATTTTACTATAAAAAAGTGTTTTTATATTTTTCTATTATTGCATTGATTGTCGTTTTGCTATAAAAATTTATTGTTGGTAATTTTATCATAAAATTGTACTGTTGATTTTTGTTTGGGAGTTCACTATTTGCTCATAGCAGGGACCCTAACAAGTGCTACCACCCTGGGAACAACAGCAGTTAAGAGGTGGTTCCATGCTCCTCAAATCTTTCAATGTCCTGATCAGATACCTTGTTGCTGGATGTAGTTAATCGCAATACCCAGGATGATCAAGGAAGAAGTGAATTCTCTGAGCTAATTTACCATTACCCTAATGTAAGGTACCTTGAGCCACGTGTATCAAATAAATTGTCACTGCCATTGATTAAATGATTCACTTTTGATTGGATCAAGTCTATGACATGCTCTGGAAAGTTTTCTTATATACAATGATTGAGCATGTTTCAATTGTAAATAACCAAACTTTGCAAAAACTATCAGTCTCTTTTTTTTATGCTTTTTTTCTTTAAACAGACAGATTCTATTTTTCAGATGTGTATTTTACCCCAGCCTTAGCAAACTCCTCTGAGCAAGTCAACAATGGCTCAAAATATCTTATTTCCAAAACCTGCAAGTCAGTTGATTGCTGAGGCCAGCAAGGATGTTGAAATATGCACCAAGGGAATTGAAAAAATAGCCAATGTGGTAAGTAGACATAATATTATCTTTGTTATATTTTTGTCAGAAGGGATGAAGAAAAGAGGAGAAAAGTAAAGGTAAAAAAAAAAAAGAAAGGGGAGAGGAAGAAGGAGGGAAAAGAGAAAAAGAAAGGAAGAAGGAGAAAAAAAGGTGGGGGGGAAGAAATGTTTCCGATCATAATTCCTATGACCAACGAATATGTATGAATATTTTTTTTTTGTTTTTTTTAGTGAAGTATCGTTTCATAGGAGGTAAAAACTTTCCTGGCAACAAAAAGTAACTGTTATGTCAAGCATTGTTCGTTGTGAGTGTGGGTCTTTCTACATGTTGGACCCAAGAAGGAAAAGACAATCATTCAGTTTGTTCTCTTTTTGTCTGGTCATGGCTGAGGACGAAGTGACATAGGGTGTTTCTGATTTGTCGCTTGTTATTTCAAGATCAGCAATGGCAGATATTTAATATGTCCGTTCTTGTGTGCTTGGTGGAAATTGGCTTCAGGATTGCCTGCCGGAATAGATATTGTTTCAGTAGGGTCTCTTCGGTGAACAAGTATTATGTTGAAAGACCTGAAACTTGTCATGACCCCAAGTCATAACATCACTGATGAGGCAATCATGTGCACCTGTTGGAATGTATTTATAACAAATCAGATGAAGCATTGTCAAATATTATTCATTTTTGACTAGGATTTCTTTCATCCTCATTTCAATGGCTTTATTTCCACTAGTAGTATTGATTCATTTTTTATGGTATATCAATCCCTTGCAGGTTATTTAAAGCCAGAAAATATTTTTAAATTGTAAGAAATTTTTTTTGAGATAAATGGTTTATTGATAGAAGTCTTAATAACTAACCCATAGCTGGTTGGAAAAGAGGCGGATTCATACCTTTCCAAAGGGTATTTGTGTGTAAGTGAATGTAATGAATCTAACTGGAATTGGAACTTGGCTCTCTAATTAACAATTCCAAGCCATTATCCATTACACCCACACATCCACACTTATAGCATCTGGTATTCCCAAGTGGTTGCCCATCTAGGTACTGACCAGGCTTGATGTTGCTTAACTTCAGTGATCATATGGGAACCGGTGTTTCAACATAAGCCATTAGTAGTATTGGTAGTAGTAATATTAACTGCAATTTTGATTAGATGAAGCAATTTCAATCATTATTCATTTTTCACTAGGATTTCTTTCATCTTCATTTCAATTGCTTTATTTCCATTAGTAGTAATAGTAGTAGCAATATTATCTGGAATTTTATTCATAACAAATTATACAGCACTTATTTTGATTAACCACATCACTTAGAACAATTACTCTGCTACTTATAATAAATAGGGGTAAGGATAAAGAAATTTCACAAAAGACATTATTTTCAATGTTTATATTGTTATTTGTGAATTATTTTCTTATCAGCCACTCTAAGATACAAAAAAAAAAGATTTGTACATTTGTGGAGAAGGTACGGTGAGTAATTTAACATGTCAAAAGTGGTTTGTGAATTTTTTTGCTGGAGACATTTGGCTAAGTGATGCTATCCAGTAAAGTAGAAAACGAAAATAACCAATGCTATATAATGTGGGTGATAGCCAACATGCTCAAAATACTCAAATCAACTATAGAAAAGGGGGTAGACTAATCTCTTCAGTCTTAGATGGTAACCAGTCTCAGACAAAGGCCACTCTGAATTAAATCATGTGGAGAAAGCAACTATCTTTCCTAAGAAGTCATGACAATTTATAGGTATTAAAAAAACAAAGCTGTGGAATGAATATGACCCTTAAAACAACAACTCTAATGAACCAATTTTACGTTGTTAGGTTACCAAATACTGCAGATAATTGTGAGAGGTCAAAGAGTGCAGTGGATGAAATCTGATAAAAATTGACACAGGAACTAGTTTTAATGATTCTATGTATAATAGTAAGAATACCACATCTTGGAAATTTAGAGTGGGAATAATACTGGACAGGTATTATTTACAGCAAGGTTCTCCAGCCTGGGTAATATCACTGTTGGGTAGGTGATGAGCAACTGAACAGAAAATGGTGGATGATTGGAAATTTTGATGAGTCATATAGGATTTTGAGTATTGAAAATGTATTTCAACATATGCTACTTGAAAAAAATATTCAAAGGAGATAGGTAAAAACAAAAAAAAGCACAGGAGACTAATTGAGAATATTCAAATGTATTTATTGAATATTCAAATGTATTTATTTTGATGAGTGATGCAGGATTTTGAGTATTGAAAAGGTATTTCAACATATGCTACTTGAAAAAATATTCAAAGGAGATAGGTAAAAACAAAAAGAAAGCACAAGAGACTAATTGAAAATAACTGTGTCACATTCCCAGATAAGATATAAATATCCTTGCAAACAACAAATATTTTGGTATTTTCTATAGTTTTGAGAAGGGTCATTAGCATTCAAATAGTTCTTCAGGCAAAATAACATTTTTTCAGATATGAATGAGATAAGGGGAAACCAAGAACAAAAAATATTCACTGAATTTTTTACTAGTTGATAGTCACATATATTCTTTTTAATTTTATAATTATGAACAAAAATTGTTTAAATTTTTGTCAACACTTGCAACACTAACCCTAGCCATAAAACTAACCTTGATCATAATATTAAATTATATATATAGTTTTTAATGATCAAGTCTGCTTTCATTTGTTCTTTAATATAGTAGTAGTAGCATTTGTTACCTCCCTTTGGAATTTTTTTTTACTACATCATAAAGTCAGTTTATGAACCAGTAACAAACTTTTAACAAACAATTTTGGTATGCTTTTGAATATTTACTATATAGGTGAGTGGTGGAAAAGTGGGTGATGACAAAAATGGTTGTGAATCCTGGATTTACAAACATAATTTGGTAATTTAATAAATAGACAGTATTTAACATTGTTCTTGTTAAAAAATCACAGAAATTCAGATGCTCTTAAACTATCTTTGGGAATTTATCTGGTAAGAGCAAATGAAAAATAACCAGAAAATGCATTTTTTCAAAATTTTTAGATTATATTTACTTATGTAAATGTTATGTGTTCATTATGTGTTTATTTAAATTTTCTTGTTTTCAAAGATATATTTCTAAATTTATGAATAAAAGAATTTATTTTCATGGTTATTTCTTTATAATATGGTGAATAATAATAAATATTACCTTGTAGTTGGTTCATATATTTTTATAATCTTGCAAATATAAAATTATTCTTGTAAATAAATAATCTAATAAATAAATAGTGTTTAATATCTTTATTGTCAGATCTCAAAAAAAGTTTTAATCCTGTTTCATGTTTGGGTTTTATTAAAAGTGTAAAAATAGCTTTTTAAAATAATAAATTACTAGAGGAGTATACAGTAATAGCTGTTCTTTTTTTCTTTCTGCAGACACATTTGTTAAATGTTACCCCCCACCCAAAATGTTTGGGCAACAAAGATGAAGAATCTCATCCAAACCAGTATATATTAGTAATTGTATCTCATCTCAGAAAATCTGACCAGAAATACTTATCACTGTTGTTTATAAAATTCCAATGATATTTTTCTTTCATTGCTTGATTGACAAGATTTAGATAAAAAAAAAATGAAAGTTTTGTAAATATTGTAAACTTGAAATTTTTGAATGGTCTTAGAATTATATAAATGTTAAATGGCAAATGCTCTCTTCCTTCTTTCCTCAGATGTATGAAGCTGTAAAGAATGAAACATTTAGCATAAAGAATTGGAAAAAGCATGAACTTAATCCAAAGACAATGGATGCAGCTGCTATTGACTGGTAAAAACAGTTTTCCTATTTTATATGGAATTAATCAACTTAGTCCAACATGGGGCTTTTATAGTGGAGTACCCAATGATGTTTAAACTGGTGACACTAGTCTTGGACACTAACTAGTTTAACTATTATACTACAGCAGATCTCATTTATTTGTATATTAGGTGTGTGCAAATATTCCCAGTACCATATTTTTGAGTACTAAAGGCACATTATAAAAACCATTTTTATTATATAAAAACAATATGTATGTATATACGGGACAGTTGAAATTTCTAGGGCACATGGAAAATCTGATACTCACAGGACAGATTGAAGGCAAGAGAGACAGAGAAAAGTAACACATAATCTAACTTAGTGAGTTTGAGTAAATAGATGATAGAACCAGGTTTACAAGAGATAACAAAAAGACAAAATTTATTAAGGGATACAAAAGTCAGGAAATTGTGGAGAGCCATGATCACCAACATCCTGACAGAAAATGGCACATAGAATAAGAAATAATTGTTTCTTCCTTTTTCATAGTGGATATCAGTGTTTCATTTTGATAAATTTCATGCTTTCACAATACAACTCTCTACTGATTGGCCTTCCGCAATTTGTTGAAATTTCATTATTTTTTATCACCTGTTTCTTTTTCTTTTTAATTTATTCCCTGTGTGTATTTCACTCATTCAATTACCAGAATGAGTTGAATGCAATTCTTCTTCTTTTATATACTGTGTCTCTTCAAGATGTTGGCGATCATGGCTCTCCACAACTTCCTGTCTTTTGTCTTTTTGCCATCACTTCCAAACCCTGCTATGCCATCCATTCACTCAAGCTTGCTAGGTAGGTTATGCATTGTTTTCCTTTGTCTCTCTTGCCTTTGATCTGACCTGTAAGTATCAAGATTTTCTAAGCCGTCTTTCCTCATTATGTGCCCTAGAGATTTCAACTATCTCTTCTTGGTGTTAAGTATAAGAGTCCTTTTTGTTTCCATTATCTGTAGAATTTTGTTGTTCAATTGTTCAGTCTATGGTATTCTCAGTATCCTTCTGTAGAACAAGTTTTCTGTTGCTTCAAGTTTCTTCTTTATCTTTGAGGAGATGACCATATAAGAGGACTGAAATTATGTAGCAGTTCAATACTCTTTTCTTTGTTTCTAATGAAATTTTTCTGTTTCTTAATAATTTGCTTAGCTTTTGAAAAGCATCTTTTGCTAGGCAAAGTATTAGTAAAGTATAAAGTGAAGTAATTCATTCTCTTTTTCAGGATTTTTTTAGTTGATACTTTAAATTTTTCCTTCTGGCATGCTGACGAAGAGAACAAATTTGTTGTTAATTACAATGGTAAAGGGTGGACTGGCTATTGGTCATTGTGTGCAGCTATAAACCGAGCAATTGATGTAAGTTCATTACGACTTTCGATTACTTTTTGCTTATATCTAGGCTTGTGGATTTTACATATTTCAAATGATCTTATTTTACCAATCTTTTGTAGTGACATATGCAAAATAGGCTTACCGTATATTGCATAGAGTCAAGTGACTACTAATAAGTCAGTCGTCACATGGCACAAGGGAATAGCTTTTATGTCACAGACTAGAAGACGTCATAACATCTTCAAAGTCATTGAAACTGAATATATTGCTTTTTAACTTCTAATTTTCATTAGAATGGTTTCTGAAACTCTTTACCGTTTTTAAATCATTTCACCCCAAATAAGACAATAAAGACATAAGGACTTACAGAGTGTGAGAGAATATGAGAAAGAAAAAACATTATTAAAGAGAGAGGACAATAAAAGAACAGGAATTAAGAAGACAGAACATAACGATTGACATTGAATTTAAATTTTTGAAGATCAAAGTTGACTGGAAAGCAAGAATCTGGAAGAGAGTTCCACAAGCATGAAGCATGAGAGAAGAAATTGTTAGCCTAGAACTATGATTAAATCTAGCCATTTCAAATGTTAAATGATGAGATCTTGTCGCCAATCTAGCACTGCACTTAAATGCATGGAGTCTGAGTACCATAGAGGAAAGTTCATCAGAACAATTACCATGAAAGTATTTGTAGAAAAGGCCCAAGCAAGCTATGTTAAAGCAGTGGAAAAAATGACTGAAGCTGAGATGTTGCCATTGAAGAGTCTACTTTGTATTTTATCAAGAGACTCGAAATATATAGCAGAAGCAGCAGACCAGATGTAACAACAATATTCAATGTATGGGCAAATAGTAGATTTATAAATGTGTAAGATAGAGTCTGTCGAGAAAAATTTTTTTGATTCAATATAATCTTTCCTCTTCAAGTCAGTGGAAAACATTAGCTCAAGAAGGTAAAATGAGTCACTTATTAATATCAGCTATGCTGATAGAAGATGAAAAAGGTTTTCTCAGATGATTAAAGAAGAGCAGTTTTGTTTTGGAGGACTTAAAATGAACAAGCACCAGTTAACAAGAGATTGTCAGCTGCCAATTTGACCTTTTTTTTTATTTAGCCTTCCAATTTTCATTTGACTGCTACTCAACATGGCTATTTTGTTGAGACTCTCAGCTTTGTTGTTTTGCTTTATTCAATCATTCTTCTATCTGAAGAATATCCAAGACACCTACTCAGACCAGAAGCGCTGCTTGAATCACTGTCCTCCTTCTCTTAATTACTGTTTTGCATTATGCAATAAAACATGCTGACTTAACCAAATATACTGGCTTAATGTGACTGGCAGATAACTACTATATTTATAGATGCACAATTAAAACTACTACATTTGTGCAACAAATAAGCAGCACTTATTTCGCTTACCGTGTTACTTATAATGATTACTTCAGTACTTATGCCAATGTTAAAAATAGTCTTAGTTGACATTAATATAAATGACAGATGACTATAAAAAGGGTTACTTAGAATGATTACTTGATTACTTATATAAAAGTAAAAACAGTCTTAGTTGGTAATAATATAAGTGACAGATGACTATAAAAACGGTTACTTAGAACAATTATTTTATTACTGATATAAATGTAAAAATAGTCTTGGCAATAATATAAGTGACAGATGACTATAAAAATGGTTACTTAGAACAATTATTTTATTACTGATATAAATGTAAAAATAGTCTTGGCAATAATATAAGTGACAGATGACTATAAAAATGGTTACTTAGAATGATTACTATCTCTGAACCTGTTCTTTTATTGTCCTTTCTCCTCACTAAAGTTTTCTCATTCATTCCCATTAATCCCTTGTGTCCTAGTCGCATTATTGCTTTACTTGGGATGAAATGATTAAAAAAAAAAAAAATTGTGGTTAGGATCTTAAATAAGAAGAGAGAGGGAGAGACAAGTTTTCAGGACTAAAATTAATTTGTGTATCAATATGAATCAAAAACAAAAATATTTTATTGGACCCCATTAATATGTGTAATGTAATATCTACTTGGTTAGGTGACTCAGTTTGCACTGAGTGACCAGCAAGGTCACCTACACTTTGTACTCAATACACTATGATAATATATTTGAAATGGAATATTTAAAGATAGGAAAAATCTTTTGTTTATCATGCTTCAGAAATAAAGTCTTAATTTTCTTTTTCTGTTTTTGTAGAATGGCATTCCTGTTACATCAGCCGATTATTATGCCAGCATTTCACAAGAACAACTTATGGATATATTCAAATCTGATTCTGCTCAAAACATCCCAATGCTTGAAGAAAGACTCGAGGTACTACATGAAACAGGAAAGATCCTTTTACAGGTAAAATTAAACTCGTGAAGAATGCTACAAAGAGAAAGAAAAGAATTCATTATCATATTTAACTTGTATGTTTATTAAAGGTGACAAAAGGACAGGATTGTTTGTAGCAAAAAATTTCATTCTTATACGTATTAACTATTACTGATTCTTCAAACATCTTTTAAAGGATGGGGCCGCCAGACTTAAGAATTCTGAAGTTTGTAACCAAGGTCTTCAAAGAAGCTATTATATGACAATGAGATCTCTGGAGGTTGATCAAACAAAAAGAGAAAGAAAGAAAAGATGGTAATTGTTGAAATTCACAGGAAGGTAGATTGACAAGTTGAGAAGAAAATTAAAAATGAAATGCTTTAAAAAGTCATGTTTTAAGTTAATTCCAAGAAGAATTGAACCCAAATTTAGCTCGATGGAATTCAATAAGATTGAGTCAAGTCAACAATACTGTCCTTCCTTACTTCCCACTGATGAGAAAGAGATCATTAAGGTATCTGCAAAGATGTCAAATAAAATAAAAACATATGTTGTCAATAAACAGACCAGGGTGGTCACCAAAATAACATTTACAGACTGCTCTGAAGAAAAATCCCAGAAGAAGAAACATTTGGCTTGAATCAACCACCCAGAAGTGAAGTGTCCTTACAGAGATAGAGACCAACTTGATTTGCTTGTCATTATAATTTCTGTGAAATTTGTCCAAAGAAAAATTTTATATCCAAACATTAATTCAGATTCCTTTAGATACAAGTCATAACGAAAAATTAATTACTATTTTGAAGTGATCATGGACAAAATGGCTGTGTTGTCTGTTGATTGTTAAAATGCATAGATAAAGAAAAGATAAACTTTTGTTTTTAAGAATAATTTTCTTTTCTTTTCTCTCCCAATTCTTGAGTTGTCTGGTTGATTGAGAAATCACAGCATGGGACAAGCTGATAAAAATTAATGACTGAAAATCCTTTTTGTTTTCGCTACACTATCTGGAAGTTGGATTTGTCACACCAGCCCTAGAAGTGGGCTAAGGTTAGCTGCTGAGAAAGTGGGAGAAGGAAGAGAGAGATTAACATCACCTATATGGTGTGAGGTGAGATGTGAAGGGAGTTGGAGTTAATGGGTGGCTTGATTCCTCTGACCACTCTCAAATGGGGGTGGGACAACCCCAAATTTGGAAAGACATTCAAGTAAATGTACTTTTATATATGGAAATTTAGAAATAGTTCATGCTTAGGGTAAAAAGACATCTGAACTCAGACCCTAGTCAACCCCACCCCTGCTAGATGCAGGAATCCATATAAGTTTGGACAACTTAAAGTGTCCACACACTAATGCCACTGGAATCCTCAGTATTTGCCGAGACCTCCTGACCAAGACCTTGTACCAACCCTGAAGACCAGAACTTAGAAATTGAAGTTTCTATTAGCACAAACTTCAGACTTCAAGGGGGATCCCAGTGTCATTTGATTATAACAGTAAATGTGAAGGGGTAAAACAGCTGTATACAATAAATCATATATAAACCAAGTCGAGTAAATTCTTTATTTCAAAGGGTTTTTTGTGTGAATCGTCTTCAGTTTGCTTTATCAGTGATCTTCTCGCCCTCTGGGATCAAAAAACACAAAATAAATCCCATCTATCTTAAATACAATTTTTATTTTTGCAGTTTTAGGTTTGTTTATTTTAATACAAAATTTAAAAATAAAACCATCAATCCCCATTTATTTTAAATATAAATCCTGCCTATTTTAAATAAATTTTCTTTTTCTTTACAGTTTTTAATAGTTTAAAAAGGGTTACTGAATGAGGAATAATCAAAACGGAGGTTGGAAATGAAATGGTAATCTTTATAACACCAACAAAATACAATACACGCCAGCTGCATGAAGTAGGTAAACCACTGATAGTCAGGGACTACTTAGACAAAATATTATTCCCACTTACAATAGTGTCCAATGTATTTATGAGGATTGGGACATACCTATTAGTGTTCATAGGTACAGTATATAACACTCTCCCTCTCTCTCTCTGTTTTTCACTCTTCTCTTTCTCTCAATCTCTCTCTGTTGTAACGTAGCGAGGGTTACTGAATGAGTAATAACCAAAACGGAGGTTGGAAATGAAATGGTAATCCTTATAACATCAACAAAATACAATACTCGCCAGCGTCGTGAAGTAGGTAAACCACTGCTAGTGGTGGACTACTTAGACTTCATATTAACACCACTTATAATAGTGTCCAATGTATTTAAGAGGATTGGGACATACCCATTAATGTTCATAGGTATGATATATAACAGATAATACAAATTAAAAAAAAATACCATTAATCCCTACTTATATTGAATATAAATTAAAACCATTAATCCCCTTTTATTTTAAATATAAAATATAAATCCTGTCTATTTTAAATACAATTTTTTTTTCTTTTTAAACCTGTAATCCCCATATCATATATGGACTGCACCAGCACTGCATTAACCAGATATTTTTTATTAAAATTTAAATTATGTAATGGTCAGTCAGGAAGAGGAGCGATGGTGGAATAATGGATAGTGACTCAGATTGAGAAATTGGAGAGCTGAGTTTGGAGTCCAGTCCAATCCATTACATTCATTTACGTGCTAATACCCTTGGGAAAGGTATGGATCCTCTTCTTCTCCCACCAGCTATGAGTAAATAGAAGGACAGACCGGTTTCTATAGCTTTGGATGGCAACTGGTCTACCACAGAAAGAAATGGCAACCTACTTTGAGAAAAAAAATCTGCCCCGTCAGTCATGTATCGAAAGATACATGATCGCCTAAGCATATATCATGCATGGCACATAACTGACTGACTGACTTTCCAGTCGAATCCATTACATTCACCTATGTGCTAATACCCTTGGGAAAGGTGTGAATCCTCTTCTTCAATCCGTCTCCCCCCACAGCTATGGGTAAATAGCAGAACAGACCTTGGATGGCAACTGGTCTACAACAGAAAGAAATGGCAACTTGCTGTGGGGTAAAAAAAGTCTGCCTCATCAGTCATGTATCGAAAGACTGTGGGAAGAAGCTGCACAAGTGGAACTTACATCTGATCAATGGAATACGAAGGGAATGAGGATTGTTCACTACAATATGGCATGGCAGGTCTTAGTCATGAATGTTAGAACTGGCGGAACTTAGGAATGTATTTCGTCTGAACGTTTTCCAAAATAGTGATAGATTAACAAGAGGCTTGTGATGTTTTGTCTTTGAGAAAGAGGTTGTAGGGTGGAAAATAATTCTTCACCCACAAGAATGCGGAGACGCTTTTGGACTCGATAGACTCGATATATATTTAGTGTAATGCTCAGTACACAGCAAATTGAAGTTTTGATTCTGGGAACTTTCTCTGGAAACTTTTTCTGAAATATTTCCGATTGAAGTTGGATTGAATATACAGATATGAAAGAATGATCTAGAAGCATGAGATGATGTAATAGCAACCAGCAGAGGAAATAGAATCACTGAACCGATTTAAAATTTGAGTTGAAACTGATGTTTACTTTACACTGATCTTCTTGGAAAAAAGCATGAATCCACTATTCCCTGTGCTCTTTTCCATTACCAGGTATCTTATAACTGACATGCCATGATATTTAGTAGAGAAGAGTTGCGGTGTGAGAATCTGGATAAAACTCACTTGCATTTTACCTCATATACCTCAGCAATAGCGGCAAAAATAGCTCTTGCCCCTATAGTCAACCTTGACAGTCCAATAAGTCTTAAATATTAATCTTCATATTAAAGTGATAAATAATTACCTATTTTCATTTCTTACAGAGATGTGGTGGCAGTTTCGTACACTGTATCAGGATGTGTGACAACAGTGCTGAGAAATTGCTTCACTTTGTGACGACTAACTTTCCGTCTTACCAAGATGAGGCAGAATTTGGGAACAAACAAGGTGAGGCTACCCTCTTGCTGTATTTTCTGTGGCCTGAAAATATCCCTCGGGTCACTTTAAATGAAATTGGACTGTGGGTATTTTTTTTTTTTTTTTTTTTTAATTGAAAGTTTTCTATGACAAATTGTGGTGAAAAATGGCCGACTTGTAATAATAAGGAAACATTTGTTTTGTGATGAATTTTGCTGATTAGAATTCATTAAACTTTACTCTACCCACAACATTTGAGCTTATGGCCATATCAAATTGAAACAATGGTTCTTGTCTGATGACTAAAGTTAAGCTACATCGAGTCTGGTTAGTACCTATGTGATACTATGGATATCCCCATAGAAAAAGATGTTGTCATTATTATATATTAAATCTATTTAGACTAGTGTTTTCATCTTGGTTTGTCAACCACATTTTGACCACACTTTTCTCCAGCCTTCTTCAGGTACCTATCCTATTCATTAACCTAGGAAATTATCATTATTATACATTAAATCTGTTTGGACTAGTGTTTTCATCTTGCTTGTTAACCACAACATTTTGACTGCTCTACTCTTCTACTCATATTAATTTAATCAGTACCATGATGAAGCGTTGGCATGATTAATTTTTGAAATCTATGCAACTTTAGAGGTCATAATTTTTAAAAAAATCCTGTTTTTATTTTTAACAAAAGAGAACATGGTGGCTAGGGTTATAAATTTCAGTTTTGGTGCTAGTCACTTCTCTGACAGGAAGATGATAGAATTTCATATTTAAATTGTTCATTTAAAATACTACATTTATTAGAAAATATATTCCATTTAAATACAGAAACAGTTGTAAAAATGATTTCAAAGAGCTGTATGTCCCTGCTTACACTCATTTCCTGTTGCTCAGGGATTGTTGTCAGACTACTAAAGCATTCTCAGTGTAGCAGAAAGAAAAGCTGATTATTTTGATTTGTTTTTGTTTTATTTTACAGACTCACCTGGGTAAGCAAAGAGACAGTTTGACAGACATGATAATCAGTTTTCCTTTTCTTATTTTTGCCCTCAACTGATGATTTTATTTCTCAGCCCAGGATAAGAGTTGTCCAGACTGAGTAGGAGGGGAATACTTGTCACTTCTCTGACAGGAGTAGAAGGGGAATATACAAGTCACTTCTCTGACAGGATACAAACACAATCAAATTGTGTGTGTGTGTGTGTGTGTGTACACATTAAACGACACAAGCACATGAAGTCACTCATACCGACCACAGACATTACATAGACACATAGACAGCTTTGTTCTGGGTATGATGATAAACTGCATCTGACAGCAAGGCCTCTGATTGGGAGGTTTTGAGGAGTGTGGAACCACTTCTTAATTTCTGTTGTTCCTAGGTCCACCTTGACCTTGGGTTGTAGCACCTCTTAGGGTCCCAGCTATGGGCAAATACTGAACCCCTCCCAACAAACTGGGGTCAAAACACTATGAAAGTATAAAAATACATTTTTATAGTAAAAGTACCAGCACTACAGTTTTCATAGTCAAAAAAATTACCAACAATACATTTTCATAGTACAGTGTAACCCGGATATAAGAGAGTTGTCGGGACTGGAGAAGAAGTCTCTTATATCCGGGTTTGGTCTATTTTATTTAGGTAAGGGCTCTAATTTGGGACCAGAGAAAATCTCTCTTATATCCGGGTTACACTGTAAAAAAAAATTACCGGCTATACATTTTGAAAAAAAAATATTAGCAGAAATGCATTTTTGTAAATAAACAAAAATGTTACCAGCAATACATTTTAGTAAAAGAAATTACTAATGATCTCTAAAAAATTAAATTTGGCATTAAATGACCCATAAAGTGTTGATATGCCACTCAGCAAACAAACATAGACACAAGCAGACAGTGTGTAATGGACAGTTCTTCTTTTTTTAATATAGATGTAGTAATCTTTTAATTTTTTTTTTCTTTTCTAGTTGCTTTTTACAAAAGAGCCCAAATCTTGATTGCTGACATCTGGGCTTGTTTTGAGGGTCAAGGACTGGGTTTCTTTTATGATATTGATTTCCTCACTATCTTTGCAGACTACAGGTAATATATCTCCTTTGTTTGGTAATATCAATGACGATATATCAGTTATTATACTAACCAGCACAATACCCATAAAAAATGATGTAATTAGTTATAAACAGATCAGCACTTATGCCTAGCCTATAACCTTCTTCTTTGTTCTTAGTTAAAGATATAGCCCCTATTCCCATAGCCTCTAACAACTTTATACAAGTCAAACCTAATAAAGGGTGATGTTATTTAGGAATAAAGTGTCACTGCCGACACTTGAGTTTGAACATAGATCACCAGTGAGCAAACACAGGTGATAGCATTAAAATTGTATAACCTGTCTTAATGTGACAGCTGCTTTACCAATTAGGCCACCTTTCTGCAGGCATTCAAATATAATATATTCCTGATATGTTGCCATCTTTATTTACCTACACTTGTAGGATATAATACTGAACTTGTGGAACTTAAATCCATGTTGACAATTAAGATGTCATCATTGCTTTTGCATATTTATTTCTAAAATATTTCCCAACTTCTTTTGTAATTTTCAGACTTTTGCTATTAACAAGCTTCCCTTCATCCCATCAGTTCATTAAATTGAAGGTTTACAATACCATTCTCTTTTGATTTTTATCAGATTTTGTTTCACTTTTATTTTTGCTTTCCAGAATTCCTCAAGCTCTCAATTACTTTGAAGTTCTTAAATATTCGGATAGTCTCATGAAGATTCTTGAGAAAGGTATGATAGGTTATTTTTTTTTTCACATTGCTTGCATGTCATATTAAATGCTCACCAAAATTCTTAAACTCCTCAAACTGTTTTAATTACAACAATTGCACTCATACAATTTTATGGGATATACAAATCTTTCGAAGAAATGATTATTTACGTTGTTTGGACTGTTGTGATCATCTTTATTGCCATATTCATGATGTTTCGGCCATTGTACCCCCCAACCTTCTGTATCAGTTAATTCCTTTTAAAAAGTGTTGGTTAAGTAATCCAAAAAGTAACTTGACCCAAAGAGTTGTGAGTTCAATACCTGGCCACAGCAGAGGAAACAAAAACTTAGAGAGTTGAGTTACTAAAGGGAATTAACTGATACTGAGATATCCAAAAAAAGGCATGTCATGTGGAATTAGAACAATCTACCCCCGTGGGCTAAACAAAGAGATCAGTTTGAAATTCCAGCGTATATCAAGAAGAAAGCCTGAGCGTACAATGGTCGAAACGTTGTGAATATGACAATAAAGATGAAGACAACAGTCTGAACAATGTAAATAGTGTAAATAGTTACAATACCTCATCTCAGAAATATAGACAGATAAAGAAATGACTGCTCATACAATTCCAGGTATCCTTGCTAGTCTTTTAATAATGAGTAATTCTTGCCTTCCTAGCGTGTGTGTGTGTGTGACAATAAAATTTGGAGGGCTCTCATTATGGTTTAGCCTTGTGCATGAGATTCTGGAGGGAACTTTGCATCAGCTGTAATGAAGCCAAGGCTTGCATGAATGACAGGTTTTTCTACAGTAGAGACAGGAAGAGTTATCAAAGGAAACACTAAATTTACAGCACTGCTTCCACTCTGAAGATGGATTCAGTAATGACTGTCACTTGGAAAATCTTGTGGCTTTCCATTTGGATTTGTTTATTATTTTTCCAATCATTTCACCCCAAAGAAGATTATAAAGCCACTAAGATACAAGGGGCAAGTTTAACTAGGAGCGGTACTGCAAGGTATGGTGATGCCAATATGATTTGAACATGCACATACCGCAACAGGTTTTATGCTATATGTACTCTGGAAATGTTATTTCTTATACATGCTTTTTCTATTTGCTGTGTCACTGTATATGTAAGACCGAGCATCCAACAGCTTGATGCAACCATGTTTGCCAGATCTTGCCCACCTCAATCTCCTTTGAGCCATGAGGGAATCGCTTCTGGCCATGTGTGTGGGCTTCTTCTCCATCACTCAGAGTTGTCCACCAAAATCAAATTCATGCAAATAGCCTCATCAAACTCTCTCTGATTCACAGCCATCTCCACCAGGAGTGAAAAAGGGTAATAGAGAGAAAGGAAGATGATCCCAATGCTTAGATGCGAGCAGGTGATGACCATCATTCAACAGTAAAAACAAAAGAAATTGACATATTGTTAACATGCTTTTTTAACAATATATGTGAAATGTCTACGTGGTTATATCACATACTTGAATTTCAGCCAGCTAAAATAGAAAGAAAACTATTGGCCATATTCAGTCTTCACAATCTTACAATTTCACATTTGATGTCATGCACTGTGGTTGTTAGCCAAAAGCTGAAAAAAATAAGCAGTAAACAGCCAAGTCAGTGGAAGAGGGCAACACCAGTTGGGCTGGCGTAAACAAGGTGGACCTTGACATACCAAGCGTTCGACAGACTGATGCGACCAGGTTTGCCAGATTTTGCATGTCTCAGTCCTCTTCTGCCCAAGTGTGTGGGCTTCTTCTCCATTGCTCAGAGTTGTTCATGAAAATCATGTGAATAACCTCATCAAATGCTCTTTGATTCACAGCCATCTCTGCCGCTGTCACCAGAGGGCAGATGATGAGGTGTAATCATTAGATAGGATTAAATAAATTCACTCTATGATATAACAGGTGGGATAAACAGATGCTACTCAAGAAAATACTGCAATGAAATGTGGAAACCATTTTTTTCTGTCACACATTGAAGGTATAAGATTGTTTTCACACTAACAGTATCACTGCGAATAAACTTGTTGGTGGCTGCAGATGAAAACGTTTCTTAAATTGCTAAGCACAAGATCACTTGTGATTGGCAGTCAATGTGTTAAAAGAAATCTATATTTATTTTTAATTTTTTTTCTGATTTTCAGATAAGCTGCTTGTCAGTAAGGATCGGCTGGAAGTAGAAATCCGCGGCTGTACAATTTGGGCCATTGAGGTAGGAAAAGAATTATATATATTAAATATTTTATTTGTATAGATTTTCTTAACTTTATCAGATATGTCTTTGACAATTTCAATTTATCTGAAACTATTCACTGGAGAGAAATTGCATATTGACGTATTTTGTTTCAAGATCAGATAACAGCCTTTTACTATAATTGGGGTTTGAATTAGAATAATCTCAAGTTACCAAATGAGAAAAAAAAAATAAAAAGGACTCTTTAAGCTTGAAATACAGGGTGTCCATAAAGTTCGTGTGCACTTTAAAAAATTTATAACTATTTGTATTTGCGATAGAAATAATTCTGTAAAAAATGTTATAAAGTTTAATGTACCTAGTTTTAAGTATAGCTAAAATAACTGATTTCAGGCATTACTGTAAATCAGTTGGCAAATATTTTCCGTGAATTTCAAAATTGTATTAACCTTTGTATTGCTAATGATGGAGGGCATGTGGAAACTTAGATAAAATTTCTATAAAACCTTAAAAATATAGATTTACTTCTTTCTAATCCTTTTTACAAATTATTTCTATCACAAATAAAGTTATAAATTTTTAAAGTGCACACGAACTTTATGGACAACCTGTACCTCTCTCTGTTGATGTGTTTAGGGAGATAATCAACCAACCAGATAGCAATCTGAGCCTCCACTTTTTTTTTTCATAAAACAAAGAATTCTCCAACTCCAGTTAAATGAGAGATGTCATAGCATAACTACACACCTCCCTATCTCAATTTAACTTTTGAAAATCACAAAACTGTGAAATTGGTAATCTCAAAGACTCCAGTTCTATTTTAAACTTCTTTTTTTCTATATTTTTACCCATGTCGGTTGTTAGTGTTTAAAATTAAGGAAGAAAAATTTAAAACTTTAATATCTCAAAAAAATATAATTGCAATTTTTCTGAAATTTTCACTAAATGTAGACTAATGGCAGTTGTGCTTTAAATCTGTAAGTTATTTGGAATGATACAGAGAGAGAGAGAGCTATGATTGATTTATTTATTTTTTTACTCAAATATCAAGTGTCCAAATGATGAGGAACAAAATGTATAGTGTAACCCGGATATAAGAGAGATTTTCTGCGGTCCCAAATTAGAGACCATACTTACCTAAACAAAATAGACCAAACCCGGATATAAGAGAAACCCGGATATAAGAGACTCCTTCTCCGGTCCCGACAACTCTCTTATATCCGGGTTACACTGTATATTTATTAATATAAATTTCAGCTCTACTTGAGGTACCTTCACTTTTTTGTTAAAAACAAGCATAGTATGATGGAAAAGGCCCCAAACTTAATAAGAAACAAAATTTTATCATCAAAATGTTTGTTATTATTAAGAGGAAAGACCAAAGTATTTTTTTTTTTTATTACATTATTAAATTTTTTAATCCTTTCTAGTGTGTTTGAAATTTTGGTTAAAGATCTTGTTTTTCTTGTGTCAGCAGTTAGCCCAATATTTTCTATGGGCGTTTTAGAATCTTTTTTGGGGTAAAAAACACATTGTTTTGGAAATTGTAAAAATCAAATAATTGTCAGATTTTAATGAAATCCTTGGGATTGATTCACAAATAAAGGAAATTATTTTTGAAATTTAAAAAAAAAAAAAAAAAATCTGAGTAAATATATAGTTACCCACAGACATAGTGTTTCGCAGCTCATCAGTGTGTTTAGACATCTGATTGCCTCTAACTGGGATTGAAACCTGTCTGATTTGGTATCAGTCATTGACACACAGCAGGGATGAAGGTGAATTCAGACGTATTTATTTTTTTTTTTAGACAAATACGCCTGGTCACTGGCCAGTGATTCGGCGTGTTTTGATGTTATCTATTGGGCAGGGGGTTGGAAAATTCCTTTTAATCTAAGACGGTTAGGTGAGTTAGTCCCTTGTTGATCGGGATGTACCTCAGGTGTCAATATCTGACTATGCCACAAACAATTTTTATTTTATTTATTAGGGGCTGGGGCGCCCCTAATGTTAGTGTTACATGATGCCAAATTTACACATGATGATGCCCAGAACCTGGATTATCACTTCTTTGCGTATTTTCTTGCATTTGCATCAACTTTCACTGATCGACCATTTAGTGTTGTGAACATATATACACATTTTTTTATTTTATTTTTTTTTTTTTTTTTTACATTTGTTACCCCCACTTTTATGAAATTTTGAGAAATTAAAATATCAGCCTCTTCATATTAGTTAAAAAAAAACAAACAAGACTCCTTGGAATTTAAATCATTAATTTGTTTTTGTCAAAATGACACTATGAGAAAATAAGATTGATGACTATAGTAAATTTAAATTCAACATTCCTAAAATTAGATTACTGAGTACTTATATATAAAAAAAAAAAAAAAAAAAAAAAGTGCTCACATTTTCTTAAATTATATTTTACAGATAAGGCCTCCATAGAATATTAAATCTGTCAAACATGAAAACATTGCTACTGTCAGCTAAAAACAAAGCTACAGTTTGGTGAAAAAAATTTATTTTGAAGTAAATAATATGTTTCAGATAAGCTAATATTCCACAAATAAAGTTTCAGAAAAATATATTTTATTTTTGCAAGATTTTTAAAATTGAGAACTAACTTGTTTACAAATGCCTAAAAAATGGACAATATTACTGAAAAAATGAAAATGGATTCCAATCCATATAATTTCTTTTTGAAATACACCAGAATATTTTGCTTACTAGAAACAGTAAATTTAATTACTTAGGTTTCAAAGCTAAAATGAAAGCTTTTTCATTTTTAAAAATAATTCAAAGCTCAGGTATTGATTTTTGCGGCAGTCCCTACAATACATCGAGCACTGTGACTTTTATATATATATATATATATATAAAAAATCATTTATCCGAAAATTATAACAAAAATGTTATAAAATCACTACAAAAATAGCCATTTTCTTTCAACACTTCTGGTGTCTTATCAAGTGATGGTGTTGATGGCATTCAACACCATCACTTGATAAGACACACACTCAGTGTTGAAAGAAAATGGCTATTTTCGTAGTGATTTTAATAACATTTTTATGTTATAATTTTTGAATAAATGATCATATTTGCTCTACTCTCTATTGAGCACTCTTTTAAGAATAGTATTTGTTGGTTATTGGAATTTATTCCGTATAGACCAATCCTATACTTGGGGTGTGTGTGTGTGTATATATATATATATATATATATATATATATATATATATATATATATATATATATATATATATATATAAAAAGTGCTCAATATCTGAGATTGAGCATATGTAAATATGAAAATATGCACTGAAGCCAATACCAAGCAGTGACAATGTTTCATTCTCAATTGTAATCTTCAGGCCATGTGTGTTGGGTTTTGGCTCGGCTGTTTATATAGGCTGGTCAGTGAGGCATTACAGGTAATAAAGTCTATCATATTATCCTGATGGATATTGGGTAGGCAGTGGTGGTTATGTTTCAAATTATTCTAAAGGTTATTGAGTAGAAATAATTGTGGATTCAAATGCGGTTATTTGTTAACTTTTTATTCATTATTTATGATTGATTACTTAAGTATTATTATTACATTTACTTATGTTTGTATTCAGTCATGGTTTGTTAATTTGTTTATTATTTACTTTATTTAGATTTTTTTTTGTTTATTTAATTTTTTTTTTCTTTCTGGGATTGTTTATCATATTTGTTTAAAGTATTGGTTTTGTTTAAAATACGTTACATTATCTGCATTGTATATAGTGCATAAATTTGCAATTTCCGTGGTGGTATTTTACAACGTATTTGTTTTTGGGTTTCAACTTGTAAATTGATTTAGTAAATTGTGTTGGTTTGGCGAAGATGATTATTCCTGTTTTCTATTATATTTTTGGTGTAATTGTTTAGAAAACATTGTACTGTTTGTGTATTTATTTTATGTTTTGTGTGTGTAGTTTCTGTTTCCAGGGTCCTTCAGTTAGTCCTATGTATATATATTTTTTTTCATTGTTATCTGCTGCTTTTACAGTGGGTTGGTATATTATATTGTTTTGTAAGCAATTACCATTTAAGGGACCATTGTTCTGCAGTTACAGGTGGGTTTAATTTGGTTATTTTTCTGTTGTGCTTTTTTTTATTATTTGTGTCATTCTCGGTGTAAATGTAGCTAATTTTTACAGTATCTGTTGAATATCTTGTGGAGAATGTTTTTGTTGTATGGAGGGTTGAACCAAATGTTTCTTTTCATGTTTTTTTTTTTGTACTGTGCAGTATGTATAAGAATGTTGCCAAAAATCTATCTTTTAGAGCTGTTTCATAATACTGTTTGTCTTCATTGAAGATGATTTCATTGGAAGAATTGTCAGATAAGCTGTAGTTAATTTGATTGTAGTTTCTGCTTTATTGTTGGTGGATGATTGGAAAGTGGTTTGTCGTTTGGTTGCCTAGATGGTTGATATGTACCTTTTCTAAAAGATACATATTAACAGCAGATTATCTGACAATTCATTATCAAATAATACATTAGACTTTACTACCTGTAATGCACCATTGACCAGCATATATAAATAGTTGAGCCAAAACACATGGCCTGAAGATTGTGATCAAGCTTGGTGTTGACATCAGTGTTCACTTATATATTTAAGTATGTTCTAGTTGTGAGTTTCTAATGCAGATAGAACAGTTATCATAACTGCAAGATTTTGAGATAATTTCTAAATTTTTTTTTTCTTCCTCAGCTGATCAAAGAAGAAACTAAGAAACTTTTAGAAAAGGATCCTGAAACCAAAGATGCTCTTTTCAATTCAGTTCTCATCGATTATTTTCTTTGGGATTACAGAAGAGACCATGCAGACGGCATGAAACAAGTTCCATTCCACAAAGTCAGGTCTATATATTATTAAACAGCAATAACAGCTTACGAACATTCCAGAGTGGATTTTCCTACTGAACACGTGAAGCAAAATATAACATCACAAACTGAACTTCAAATGCAGAATATAATCTTTTCGGTTCTGTTTTGTACTTCGAAAATTTGTACTAATAATAAACAACAATCAATGCAAAAAAGAAAATGTTTATGTATGTATATATATATATATATATATATACACACACAGGGTGTAACAGCAAAATTGTCCAATGAAGCTTTGAACCATTGTATCTTAGAAATGATTAAAGATATAATTCTCAGGGTTTTTTTTTTTTTAACACTATTGGACTACTTTGAGCAATAAGAATGTATTTAGCTCTAAGCTGAAATGATGACCCCCCCTCTTGCTGTTGTCACCTCCTGATTCAGTTTTCCTCTCTACTTTGAAGATGGAAGCCAGAATATGAATGTTAGTATCATTACTGAGGGCCTGAATGATCTTTTCCTTCTCACCATTGCTCAGTTGGAAAGACATAGTGGGGCTCGCACAAAATGATTTTAACCTCTTCTCTTTGTAGCTGAATAACCCAAAGGGTTTTTCAGTTATTCTCATGATAAATGGTTTCAAGATGTCTAAATGTCTTATCTGAAAACTTGGGAAAAAGAAACTCAATTAGTTAAGTGTTTTTTTGGGGTTTTTTTTTATTATATATTTTCATAATTTTTTTTTTTTTTATTAGATATTGTGGGATGGACAATTTTGCTGTTACACCCAGTGGTGTGTGTGTGTGTGTGTGTGTGGTTTTTTTTTTTTTTTTTTACGCAGACAAATTTTTTTCTAAACCTGTCTTCATGTAGAATTTCAAGTAAGGAAAATTAAACTGACTCCCCCCCCACCAAAAAAAAATTCAGCATTTTGTCGAGGTTTCTCATGACAGTGGACCATCTTGGCTCCTTATCTGTTATTTCAGTTAGCCTGGGTTAATTGAAGAAACAAATTCATAATATATTATATAATGATAGATTAAAAACTGAAATATGGCAGAAGAAAGTAATAAAGTCCTTCTTTCAGGTGAAAACATTCAACTTGAGGAAAATCACTTTTGGCAAAGTTTAACTCTTTAGCATTCAGCCCACCCCATAAATATATTGTCTCTCAATGCTCAGCCAACCAGCAACAAAACTGTGGCTATATATTGCTGCAGAGTTAATTGCAACTAAGAACCAATTCAACATTATATTTGATAGCCAAAATATTGATGGCAATGTCCACAAAAAAAAAAAAAAAAAAAAAAAAAGGAGCGTCTACTTTATTTCTGTTTTCATACTGTTTGTCGGTCACTAAATTTTTACAACAATGTATTTACCCACTCGATCACAGTTTAAATGATCGAGTTCACAATCCCAACCTGCAGTTAATTGTAAATGCCATAATCCTTTTCATGTGCTTTTCCAGAGCTACATGATGTTTTGAATTCAGATTTGCCTTTCTCTTAGCCATGGCTAACGAGCTCAGTCTGTCCAGCTATTTAAACCCTGGTTGGGGGCTGAGATGGATTCATATAACTTTCACAAGGTTATCTGTGGGAGTTAATAAACTTGACTTGCCAATGTCACATTCTGAGCCGGTAATCATTAAGCTATACCTGTACATTCTCCTGATCCACAATTCTATGTGACTAAAGTAACAATAATGGAATAAAAGTAGTAATCATTTAAAAAGTAACCATAGTCAGATGGATGAAAACCCATTAGAAATTAAGTGATAAATGTTTTAATTTATAATGAGGATGGGTGGGGGGAGAGATTGTCTGTGTGAAAATAAGAAAAAAGTAAAACATTTCTTTATTAGGAATCAAGTGTAAGAGTTCTGATACTATAATTCGTCATGAAACTGGGCTGCTTTTGCAAACCATGTCTGATAGACGTCTATCGGGTCAATCATCCAGTGTTTATGAAAGGAAATGGGATCCTGTAGAGCAAGCAAGTCTTTATTGTAGTCGTCTGGACGAGCCTAAAAAAATAAAAAATAATTAAAAGCAGTTGTTTAAGAAAGCATACCCCCACTCCTGCAAAAAACAAAAGAAACAATTAGGATATTTTTTCACACAACACCCCGAACCTTTTTTTTTTTTTTTTTTTTTTAAATACCTTCACCCTTCAACAATGTTTTAAAAAGCAATGATTAGAATTGTAATGAAACAAATATATGAAAGTGAATTTATACTTTTTTATTCTTGAGAATTTACAAAAAAATATTAAACACTATTTATTTATTTATTAGATTATTTACAAGAATAATTTTATATTTACAACATTATAAAAAATAAATACAATTAACTAATGCAAGGCGATATTTATCATTTACCAATTTATAAAGTAAGAAACATGAAAATTTTTTACTCATAAATTTATAAACATTTACTAAATTATAAAACTGTGAAACAACTTTAAGGAAATCCTTATTTACCATTTTTTTATAAAGTTTGAACCAATTAGCTGATGTTTTTCTGAACATTTTAATAAATAGTGTAAAGAAATAATCTAATAGTGTTTATTATTTTTGTTGTCAATTCAACAGGAAAAAAGAAAATGTATAAATTCACTTTCATATATTTAGGTTTTATTACAGTTCTGGTCATCACTTTTTAAAGCAATAAACATTGCTGAGGAGTGAAGATAGTTAAAATAATAGTGGTGTCAAGGGAAAAGTCGTCTTATTGTAAGTACATTTATCCAGAGAGATGATTTTCCAGGTACAAATTCTGCTACTTAAACCATAGCTTGAAAGATTCATACCTTTTTCAAGAGTATTTACACACATAAGTGAACTTAATTGGAATTCAAACTCAGCTCTCCGATTTCACAGTCAGAACTGCTATCTATTACCCAACGGGCACATTCGTAAGAGGAGGTAGAAAGAAGTGAAAATTATAAGGAGAAAGGAGGATAGATTGCGGCTGACCCTTAACTTGAATAGATTAAAATTTCTATTTACATGTGCTACCCATTTTAATTCTTGTTCCAGTTGATGTCTTGATGTGGGTTTTATTCAGATTGTAGTGTTCAAAGAAACATCCACATAGGAGTTTGAAAAACTCTTCTATTTACAAATGGAATACGGAGGAAATGTTGGTGATTCAACTCTGGGGACAAGTCCTAGCTGTAAAGGTCTGAACTGGTGGAATTGAAGAGTGGAGTCTATGTGAACATTTTGAAATAAGCAAATAATTTAGTGACTAGACAATTGAAACATTTTCATTTGAGTAAAGAAATAAATAATAAATAGAAACTTACCTGATGAAAGAACGGGCTGTGAGTAATGGGAATGTTGAGATTTTGAAGACACATTCCAAGTATCATGTCGTCTGGAGAGTCATTACGAGGACAGCTGCATTGACCTGATGTTATAATGGCTTCAACAGCAGCTCGACTTAGCACCATACTATAAAAAAAATAAAAAAAAAATATTTAAAACCCAATGTCTATATAATGACCAAATTTATTTTATAAGATTTTTGCTAGTGCAATCCCATTAATAAAAACAGAAAAACAGTTATTGTTAGTTGAAGTTTAGAAAATCTTTTTCTTATTACAGTTTTTCAATAAAAAGTCTTGTGTCCATTATTATAGCTTTCTAAAATTGCATCCCTATACTAAAAATTGCTCGCAATGCATCCCTATACTAAAAAATCACTTGCCCTGCTATTTAACCATGAGCTGGGAAGAGAGAATATAGATTGTACTCCCCACCCCCATCGGCATTTGTTGAAAAGTCCGTACCACAGACTAACCTGGAATCAGGACTAGGCTTTGTTTTCTAATCTTTCCAATTTTATTTCTGATAATTACAATTAAGATAATTATAAGTAATTATAAGAATAGCCATTTCCATACAGGAAACATCAGTTATTCATTGGCTGAACAATTAGTGTTACTTTTGGTTGAAATTTATAAAATCTTTCTCTTAAAACAGTTTTTCAGGAAAACAGAGGCTTGTCAAGTTCACTAATTGTTATAGCTCTTTCAAACCTTTTGTTTAAGGTAGTGGGAAAAGTCAACATTTTGATTAGATTATTTTCCCTTCTAATTACATGTGCTACCCATTTCAGTTGTTACTACTTTTGGAAGTCGTCAAGTGAGTTAGGTTTTTGTTATTTGGTCACATTCAGGAGACACAGTGGAATAATGGATTGAGGAATCAGAGAGTTGAATTCACCACTTCACCTTGGGAAGGGTATGAATCCAATCCCCCCCCCCTCCAGCTATGGGTAAATAGCAGGACAGACTGGGTTCTATAGCTTTGTGTGGCAACCAATCTAGGAGGAGGAAAAATCTGAATTCAAGCTACCCTGGAGGGGATTGGGCTCTGTCAAATTGTCTTGCTCAAGACACACCACTTCTGCTGCTCAGCATGTGGTGTCCCTATGACTAATGAGTTATGGGACTTGTGACCCTGAACATTCTCTGTGATTCTGTAGCACCAGTTTATGAGATCTGAAGACAGTCTTCTTTAAGATCTACAAGGCTCATTCGCTTGAAGCTGTTTTTAATCATTGAGCCGACAAAACAGTTAAATATAGTTGAGAGTTTAGACATTTCTGAGTAAGCTTGATGCCATGCATATAATCCAATAGCAGTGTTGCCCGTGCTTGATTCAAAAATCGTACGACTCATACAGGAATCACTATCACGTCCCTTCAGGATGTTGACAGTGATGGCTCTATCACTTAAAACATTTGCCTTTAAAGGAGTGCCCTTTGCCGTGCCGATGTTGCTACATGCCTTACTTCTTGCCAATCTCACACTGCGAATGTTTTCTAAGCTCTATACTAAACATTAAATCTGTTATGAAAAAAGAACTAAACAAAATGAACACAAAACGATCAGCTTTAAAAAAAGGACTCGTACCTGGAAAAACCGAATGAAAAAAGAATGTTAACAACAAATACTTTTTCACACCCAACCCAGTTCTGGAATTAGAATCAACGTTGAGTTTAAGTAAGCGAATGAGCCAATTGGAGTAAAGTGCCATGCAGATTTAAATTTTTCCCACTTGTGATGAATGCAGCTATCGATTTTTTTTTGCATGCTAGCATGCTAGTTAACATTTGTGTCAGTCAGCTGTTGGATCTCATGCTGGCCAATAGAATCTTCCTGCCTATTCGTGGCAAACTACATGAAAACTGCCGTAGAAGCATGAAAAAAAATCGATTATTTCCACTATCGATGGGAGTTGGGAAATGCAAAGTCAGTCTTGGCCTTCCTGCTAACTTGGAGCATGTGCATGTAAATTTTGGTGCAAATCTGTTGAAAATTGTGGCTGTGCATTCGTTACACACACACACACACACATCCTGCCTTTTATAGATAGAGATGAGATTCTAGATCTGACAAGGCTATTTAAGAGCATTAAACTGTTCTAACTTGATGAATACAACAATTTCCAGTTCAAGCAGTGTGGGGTCTGCATTTCTGCTTACCCCAAATAAGATATGTTTTTTTGTTTGCTACAAAAGCTGAAAAGAAAATCATTCACAGCTGACAACAGAATAAAAAAATTACTAATTGCTGCTACTTCTATGTGCCACGTCCCTTCAGGATGTTGTCAGTGATGGCTCTCCACAATTTCCTGTTCTTTGTAGCTTAGTAAATTTTGTCCTTTTTCTATCTCTCTTAAAAGCCATTCTGTCTGTTTATACAGACTTGCTAGGGAGGTTATTTGCCACTTTCCTCTGTCCCTCTTGCCTTTAATATGTCCTGTGAGTGTCAATTTTTTAAGTCCTCTTTCCTCATTATGTGCCTTCGAAATTTCAACTGTCTGTTCTCAATGTTATGTGTGAGTATCCATGTTGTTTTCTTGAAAATTTTGTTGTTGTTCACGTGTTCACTCCATGGAATTCTCAGCATCCTTCTGTAGAACCACATTTCTATCACCTCAAAGTTTCTTTATCTGTGAGGATTGTCAAGCGTTCACTGATATTACATGACAGAAATAAAGAAAAGAATATGAACTAAAAAAATTTTCCTGTTTCTTAATACTTTGCTTAGCTTTTGGAAGGTACCTTTCATTATCTCAATGCAACTTCAGATTTTGGCGTCTCACTGTCTTCTGTTAAAACACTTCCCAGATATTTAATTTTTTGCACTTGCTTAATTTTGGCATTTCCAATTTGTAATTTGCATGCTGGGCTGTCTCTTTTGCTAACAACCATGAAGTCTGACTTCTTACAATTCATACTTAGTCCTTTCTTCTCACTTTCCTTTACTGTCCTTTAGAAACTTTAAAAACTCGAAGAAAAAAAATAAATAAAATGGTCTACCAATAATGGAGATTATGAAGTCATTATTTATAACATTTAATAAAATAATTTATAGTACTGTATTATTTATAACATTTAATAAAATAATTTATAGTACTGTATTATTTATAACATTTAATAAAATAATTTATGGTACTCTTTTGACAGTACTAACATCTAAACTATCAATTGATAAAAAAATGAACACAAGTAGAAAATGCAAATTTGATTAATATAACTTTAGGCAGATTAATGTGGATGGTAATTAGACTACACATAATATTTTTTAACAACAAAATGAATTTATTGAAAAACAAAGTTTGAACAAAGTAACTATAAACAACAAAAACAGAAAGTAAAAATAAAACAAACGATCTTCAGGTTAGTTGTACAAAAACAAATAAATACTAATCCAGAAAAACATGGCAACTGTAGAAAAAGTTGAATAATAAACAGTACATATATAACTTCAAATAAAGTCTCTTCTTGATCTCTGAGGAAACTCTCCAACATTCACTGCCATATAAGAGGACCAATATTACATAGCAGTCCAGTAATCTTTCCTTTGTTTCTAATGAAGTGTGACAATATATTGAGTCATATTGTTATCACATACCTTTCTGTTCAGACAAGTACACACAACTTGGTTGTTAAACTAAGAAAGTTTTGGCTGTTGTGCCCTCCAGTCTTCTTGGAAATGTAAACTTAACACTTTATTCGAGCCACTGAAGGAGGTTGGTCTCATTCTACAATCAAGGCTTAGGGGAGATAACTTGTACCAGTTAATTCTCTCTTACACTGAATCAAAACATTTTACCCACTATTTAAACCAGGGATTGAACTCAGGACTGCCAGGAAGCCAAATATGCGTTAAACAACACTAAAGACACCAGGCTGTTTGTCACTCGGAGTGTAATTTGGGAACTTCTGTTCCCAGACAGAAAGGTCACTTAAAATTCCACTTTCTTCGCCAGAGGCTCCAAGATGGTGCCTGCCTCTATGCTAGGTCTACTGATATGAGAAATCAGTTAAGAAAGCAGAATGAGAACAATCTGCCCTGGGAGATTGAATAAAGTGTTCACTTCAAAAGTCTGAGAAGGTTCCCCATCCATGAAAGTCAGCTGAAGAAGGCTGGAGCATACAATGGCTGAAACATGAACATACCAAAATGAGGATACTAAATTCCACATCTCAAAAATTTCGGACATTAAGTCAGATTGTGTTTTATATCCAAAAAGTAAGTAAAAAAGAAAATAATCTGCACTTTCACCATAACATATCTTTAGACTTGTCACACTACCTTTTGCTCATGTATGCTTATAGTTGGTACTGTTGTAATCACATGATTTGAGCTTGATCGTGCCAGTTTTTTTTGCTCCTGTTACAGTGTAAACATGACCGCTCCACTAGCAGTGTGTGCCAAAGAAGAACAAAGAACAGTAATCCATTTTGTCTCGTCAGAAGGTGTGTCAGAGGCTGAAATTCATCAGAGTGTTTTAACACAATATGGCAGCAGTAATCTACAGCATAGAAGTATGTATGAGTGGATAGAGAAGTTTAAAATTGGCTGGACAAGCATGAAGGAGGAGTAATAGGTTAGTCAACCTCCATCACTGATGAGAAGATTCAGCAAGCTCAAGAGATGGTAATGGCAAACCAGCAAGTTATTATCAATGAAGTAGCATGTACTCTGCAGATTCAGATCACTGAATTTTTCTCAAAAAAAAAGAAAAAAAAAAATTTATATATAAAATTTAATGAAAAACAGACCACTTTAAGGTACCATTACAATAATTTATTTCACCAAAATCCTTTTTAAAGTGGTCTGTTTTTCATTAAATATTAGCTCTGTTCTTCACATTGAGCTCTCAGGATTTCATCCTCGTTGGATTTACCAAGTTCTTAATAACTTAAATATATATATATATATATATATATATATATATATATATATATATATATATATAATCTCACTATGTGCACATTTTATTTTAACACATTTCTTCTGTAGAAATCTCATTGATAGATTCATGGATATTGCTTTTTAACTTTTATTAACTTAAAATTTTTTAAAATTGACCACAGTTACTTTTCCTTAGATTTTTTTCAGTTATTTTGATAAAAGGAGGGAAATGTCAACGAGAAAATTTTCAACATTCAACTGTTTTTTGCTTCCATATTTCATAAAACACCTTGTATATAGGCGCACATACACATGTGGGTGAGTGTGTGCACATACATGGGCACATGCATAAACACGCACCTGTACAAACATACATACACACCTACAAAATTCCATAAGTTAAATGGTGAACAATAAACCAGAGACCAATGAAAAAAAACAAGGAAAGAATACAAGAAAGAGAAATCAATACTGAATCAACATCCATCAAAGTGAAAGCTAATAAATAACACACCTACACCAATAAAAGTACATGAGAATCGAGAAATTACAGCAGATTAACTGTTCGGATGAGTGGTTATACCTATATAACCACAAGCTAAGTGAAAAAAAACTTTTTCATATTAATTCTATTAATGCTGTATCTTCCATATTGAGCACGCTACCACACAGCATGCTTGTCTTAAATGCCTCCTTATCAACAAACCATTCAAAAACCAGCAATTTTGGCTTCAAAAGCTATTTCAATTTAACATTTTATATATACAGTGTAACCCGGATATAAGTACTTACCTAAACAAAATAGACCAAACCCGGATATAAGAGACTTCTTCTCTGGTCCTGACAACTCTCTTATATCCGGGTTACACTGTGTGTATGTATATATATATATATATATATATATATGCATACACACAATGATAAGCTTGTCAGTCTTTTAAGATGACTATAGATATAAGTCTATCCTATCAAAACCGATAGGCAACAAATATTCCGATCTTTGAGAAAAACGGGTTTAAAATTAAACTAAAAACAAGGGAAATATTTTTAAGAAGAAAAACAAAAGGAAGAGAAAAAAAAATTGTTCAAAATAAAACTGTGCTTAGAACATACCCTCCTCCTCCAGTTATATAGTCATATCCGGTACTTGTAGACACACCGTAGCCATAACGCTCTCCCAGGGCCACAGCTTCACTGGGGTCGTAACAGGCAAGTAATTTACGTAATCTGGTAATACTGAAAAGAAATTTTCAAATTACATTTACAGTAAAAGTTTTCTGTTGTTTTTTTTCTTGAAAGCCAAATTTGAAAACTGTATAAAATAGCAATACTTGATTATTTTAATAAATAATCAATACTTATTATGTGAGTGGGGAGATTGTTCTAATTCCATGTGCCATGCTTTTTGGGGATATTTCAGTTTCAGTTATTTCCCTTTAGTAACTTAACTCTCCAGGTATTGAACTCCTTTTATCCATTTGGCCATGTATCGTCGGGAGGGGGTGGGGAATCAGTGATAATGAATTTTTGGGACTTATTAACCTAATATCTCATTAACCATTTCTTACCAGAGCTCATATTACAATTTTTTGCTCTTGTTGCATTTCTCTAGCTGTGTGTGTGTATGTGTGTGTGTGTATATATATATATATATATATATGGTTCCCATATTGTATTCATTTCTATGCTTGGCGGACTTAAGGGATTTTGTAGCCTAGCATACATGCTGATTCCTTAAATTTTTGTATTTTCCAGAGATGTTCTCGATTATTTCAACCTCATCCCACAGAGAGCAATGATCCCCCTTTTCTCTCCATATATGGTCAGCCACACCTGATTTTTCTATTTCTCCTCATGTTACAGCTTTACGGTGTTCCTGCAGTAATATCTTGCCACAGCTGCATGGGATGATGTACACACATTTCTTAATCATGTTCTCTCTGGGAGGTGTGTAGTGTTGAACTATTCCTGAAAGTTGTCCTGATGCTGTATGAACCACAAAACTTTTGTATCTTTTCTGATAAGCCCTTTACATAGAGTAGGCAGACCAAAGCTGTTTTTTTATTGTTATCATCATCTTGTACCATTCTATCCCATTTTGTGGGAGCTACTTTCATATACTGAGTGTATTTGTTATGTCTTAGGGTACTACATATACTGACCATTTCTTGTTCATATGTCTTAGGGTCACCACTTATGACATTTGCTCAATGATGTAGGGTTTGGTTTGAAATTCCAACATATATCACCTGAAGAAGACTGGAACATACAACAGCTGAAATGTGGTGAATATGGCAATAAAGATCAGGACAATTTTTACATAAAAAAAAAATCTTTGTTTATGATATCCAAACATTTACCTGATTATTGTGTCATCATCTAGAATGAGAAACCAAGATTTGCTTGAGAGGCTTGGTTCACGGAGAATTCGCACCAAGATACTAAACGTCTTTTTGCAATGACCTAGAAAGATTAAAAAAAATAAAATTAAAAAAAATGAACTCAAGTGACTTGAAAAAAAGAAGCACATCTTCCATTAAAAAATATGTAGAATCATTTGGTCAATATTTTTTTTCTAACCTGTTATCACAATGTTTTGGTTGCTGTATTCTATGGCTTTCTTCAAGGTTGATCATGTCGGTATATATGCCACCAGTTTTTTTTGTCCTGCTCATTAGTATTTACCTTTAGCCTTCTGCATTATTAATGTTACTTCTCTTTCTACTGCATTCTTTTTCAAGGCCTCTCAATTGCAGTATCCTTATTGTTATTTCTGTTGCCATAGCAGGATATGACAACACGACTATGAAATTCAAACAAATTCAAATTCAGCAATCAGTCATTTTCAGTGGCAGAATAAATTTTTACATGGACAATGAAGTCACATACAGAGTGATAAAGGCTAAACTAATGAGAAAAAAGTCTCCCCTCCCCAATTCTCTTTCTATATTTTTTTTTTTTAAGCATTACGCCCCAAGCAAGGCGTGAAGCCACTAGGATGCAGGGGGTTGCGGAAGATTTGGAGTGATAGGAGAAAGGATGAGGAGAAGGATAGTGGGTAGATCAAGGTAACTGGAGATGTCGATTGACATTACATTTGAATAGTTGGAGATTATAGCTCTCAGGGAAACAGTAATTGGGGAGGGTGTTCCACTGGCGAGAGGTGTGAGGTATGAAGCTATTGGAGTAGAAGAGACGGCTACATTTGAAAGTTTCTACGGTGTAAGGGGTGGGAGCGGATGCCAGCCTCATAGGGCGCTTTGAATTCATGGAGTCTGGGAACCAGAGAAAGCAGCTCGTCAGAGCAGTTACCATGGAAGTATTTGTAGAAAAGACAGAGAGAGGACGGGCGCTGCCTGTGAGAGAGTGACTGCAGACGAGACGCTAGATCAGGGCCAATTAGATTACATATCCGCCTCTGAATCTTGTCAAGAACTCCGAGGTAAGCAGAAGGTGCCCCAGCCCATATATGGCAGCAATACCCATGCAAGGGCGAATGGTTGTTTTGTATATTTGAAGTATCGATTCAGGGAGAAAATTTCCTGGCGCTGCACAGAGAGCCAACTTTCCTCATGGTGGAAGTAGCAATTGACTCAATGTATTTGTTCCATCTCAGATCAGCAGTCAGCGTGAGACTGAGCAGGCGCAGGGAGTTGCTCTCAGGAAGTTGACTATCAGACATTTTAATGGGGGGGGAAGGATCTCTATGGTGGTTAATGGAGAGTAGTTTAGTTTTTGTATGCTAAAGTTGACCAGCCAATTCTTGCCCCAGTTAACAACCCATTAGAGGTCCATTTCAAGACGCACAGCCAGGTTAGTTTTGTCACCGACACTAGATTTGTTTTTGAGGCAGGAGTAAATTGTAGTGTCGTCTGCATAGATGCCAACTTGGGAATCTATAGTGTCAGGAAGGTCATTGATGAAAATAAGGAAAAGAGTGGGGCCAAGGATGGAGCCTTGGGGAACACCTGTGTTCGTGGGATAGGAACTGGAGGAGAATCCGTTGAGAACGACCTTCAATTCTCGGTTTGACAGGAATGATTGTATTAGATCAAACAGTTGACCAGTAACACCATACCCCTGAGCTTATTTAAGAAGGGCCGGCGTGCAAACCCTATCGAATGCTTTGGAGATGTCGAGGGCGACGGCACGAGCCTCACTGTTATTTTGAAGGGCTTGGTAGACGGTTTCAGTGATGGCTGTAAGCACATCAGCTGTAGATCGGGCGAAGGAAACTATATTGCTTGTCTGAGAGCAGATTATGAGATGTAAGGTGATTAACCACTTGGCATTGATTAGGGCTTCAAGACTTTGCGAAGAGGGGTAGGAGACTAATAGGATGGTAATTAGAAGGGTCAGAGGGTCTCCAGAGTTCTTAAACACAGGAACAATGGATGAGGACTTCCAGCAGTCAGGAAAACAGGATTCCTTGAGGCAGTAATTATACAGTTTAGAGAGGGCGGGTGCTAGCTCAGGCGCGCATTTCTTCAGGACAATGGCCTTGTGGGGGTCTAAGTTGGAGATAATGTCTAGTACCAATGACGGGGTTATGTGTAAGCCGCTCAGTAAGGCCTCAGTTCTAGGAGGGAAGTCTGGTATGGGTACACCAGTGGAGTCGAGCGTTGAATTAAATGAGAATTTCCGAGCAAAGCATTCAGCCTTGTCAGTAGAGGAGGTCAAGACCTCGAACTGGTTGAATAAAGGAGGTATGGAGGGTTTTCTATTGTTCAGGACACTCTTGCAGACCCGCCAATAATCTTTTTGAGCCAAATTTACGAGATGCAATACGCTTTCTTCATCCGAGCAGCAAATATTGACTTAGCTTCGAGAGGACACGCTACACTCGTTACGGGCAGAGGCAAAGAGACGTCTATTGCAGTCCAACATGTCGCCACAAAATCGGTGAAAGAAGTGATTCCTATGGGCAATGGCAGATGAGCAAGCAGCGGAGAACCAAGGGGAGGAGGCGACTTGACCTTAAATTTCCTTGAGGAGATGAAAGCGCCGATTCCAGCTTTAACCCAGGATGAGACCTCAGAAGCACATTCTTGGACAGGGAGTGTAAAGACAACATCCCAGGGACATCATGGAGGAAGTCAGGGAATGAGTCCCAATCCGGCTGTTGATAGTAGAACGAGGTTCTTGTGATGGGAGGTTCTTTGCAGGGTGTGGAGTTGAAGGAAATGTTGACAGATACCACAGCATGATCGAGTTGCTGCCGGGCAGAGCTGTGTGGCGCTACAAGATTCGGGGATGGAGGTAAAACACAGATTGAGAAGAGAGGTCTTACCTGCCAGGTCGAGGGCAAAACGTGTGGGGAAGTCGACTATCTGCGTGAGGGATTGAGAAATTTAAATGTTTGAATGCCAGCCCGGTCAGTAGTAGCATTCTCGAGCCACTTGGTGTGATGGGCGTTAAAGTCACCAAACACGAATATATGAGCAAACGGGTGGAGAGAGAGGGCCTTGTCTATGCTGTCAGATATGCTATCGAGTATCCCACAGTCTTGAGAGGATGGGGAGCGATAGAGGAAGAGATAGCTTACGGCATTGAGGAGAGATAGTCGGAGACACATGTATGATAGGTCTGGCGATTCGAGAGACAACTCTCTGGCCAGGGGGAGATGGTCCTTGACATAGACACCAAGGCCATGCATATGGGTTAGAGAGAGAGAGAGAGGAAGGAGAGAGAGAGAGAGAGAGTAAGGAAGGAAGGAGAGAGAGAGAGTAAGGAAGGAAGGAGAGAGAGAGAGAAGGAAGGAAGGAGAGAGAGAGAGAGGAAGGAAGGAGAGAGAGGGAGAGAGAGAAGGAGAGGAAGGAAGGAGAGAGAAGGAGAGTGAGGAAGGAGAGAGAGAAAGGAGAGAGAGAGAGAGAAAGGAGAGAGAGAGAGAGAAAGGAGAGAGAGAGAGAGAAAGGAGAGAGAGAGAGAGAAAGGAGAGAGAGAGAGAGAAAGGAGAGAGAGAGTGGTCGTTGAATAGAATAAACAACTTGTGGAATATTTGGGAATGGTAATGACTTATCACAAATTTACAGAAACTTTTCTTTGCAGTCAGTAGAGATCAGATTTGATTAAAACAGAACAGAAAACAATACACAAAATGTTGCCAATTCCCATTTGCTCAACATTTGTTGTACAAATTCAGAGAGAAAGTTCTGATATCAGCAGGTCTAACATTTCAATAATGTAAATAAATTACTGTTTCTTGAAAATTAATTGTTCAGTTGAAATAGTTGACCTAAAGATTGAACCAACACATTTTATTGATTATTTTTCTTGGAAAGTGTGTAGATATAAATTTTAAAATTTGTCAATTTTGTGTTTTTATTTTACTTAATTTATTATTTTCTACTGCCCATGCTGGGTTAAAAGAAAAGGGGGAAAAAAAAGGTCCTAATTTTTCCATCCTGACACAGAGGCAAAAAAGAACCCACTAACTCCAGACCCCCAAAAATAAACCACAGTTAAGTGAATGGATTTTGGTCTTTTTAAGATAGCTGAGTAGAGAAAAAGACTCTTCTTTGAAAATTAACTGTTCATTTGAAATAGTTAATTTTTCACAGTTGCTAGATTCATTCAATCTAATAGACTACTTTAATTCTATACTTCTAAAATCTCCATCTAAATTCTGAAATTCTATTTACTATTTGGTCATTTATATTTTTTTCCTAAATAGGAGTAGATATGTTCGCCTATCACCTGGTTCACACCCCTCTCCAGTTTTTTTGAACAGGAATAGAGATTTATCCTTTATTCCCTGTTTAGAATTGGATTTCTATTTTTTTTTTCTTCTCTTTCACTTCTGGTGGTCCCTTGGATCTTGGTGGCATTATCACCTTGCTTGGAGTGGTGCCTCTTACATTGTAGCCATCTACTTTGACTGGCTCTTGGGCCTTGTACAGGGTGAACATCATTGTAAAAAAACAAAATACAACCGTCTAAGAATCATCTAGTATTCACTGACTAAAAAGAATCGGCATAAAGAAATTTCTCAAGAGATATCTTGTCAGCTGCTCCATGACAATCACTGCTTTCCTGGCTTTCATCGACCATTTAGGAAAAATCACTATTCCTTATCACATTCAATTCTTGACAAACAAAAAAAAAAATTTTCAGAGGTTTAACCAATAGTTCCTTAAAAATTAAATGAGATTTATTTACATTTCTCCACCTTTCTTCAGGTGATATATACCCCCAAGAACACATGGCCCAATGAATAAAAGCATTGGTTGAAGTAATCCAAAAAGTGACTTAACTCAAAGAGTTGTGAGTTCAATACCTGGTCACAGCAGTGGGAATGAAAACTTAGAGAGATGAATTAAAGGGAATTAACTGAAACTGAGATACCCAGGAAAGGCATGGCACGTGGAATTAGAACACTCTACCCACCTTGGACTAAATAAAAGGTTCAGTTCAAAATTTCAACATATATCATCTGAAGAAAACCAGAGCGTACAACAACCAGAATTGTGAATATGGTAATAAAAATGAGGACAACAGTCCGAATGATGTAAATAGTTACAATATTTCATCTCAGAAATATAGACAGATCCTGAAGAAGGCTGGAATGTACAATGGCTGAAACATGAATATAGCAATAAAGATGAGAACAGTCTGAACAATATAAATACTTGCAATACCTCCGCTCAGAAATATAGATGGATGATTTGTTTAGATGCAGCTGTGATCAAATATGTAAACAATTTTCCTGGTGTGTGTAGATTAACAAGGAAGGCACAAATACATCCCATTTGTCTTTTTTTTTTTTAAACTCAAGAGAATTACATGAATTATCTCCCTTTATTCACCACATGTCTTAATGGAAGTTTTTTTCCTAGAAATATATACTTTAATCATTTCACCCACAAACAAAGCAATAATTTTAAGCACAATATGAAGATATACGTTTTACTGAAAATCCGTTAGAACAAGCTGTATTATGACAGAATTGACTCCTACCTCTTTTTGTACAATGAAGCTTATTAAAAAAAAAAAAAAAGCTAACATATCTTGAACTGACAGAAATATTTTCAACATTTAGCAATTCAAAGAGTTTTAGCAGAAAGAATGATAGATTAATTTGCATTACAAACACCAAAATCCCCCAATAATAAGAATGTACTGTTCTGGTTAGAATTTGCCTGATTATTTAAAAAAATTACATTAAAACTTTGTGCTCAATTATTGTTTAGAAGTTATGGACAATGTAAGTTTGACGTCTTTCTCGTTGTACACAGAACAACTTTACATTGCTGGCTTTGTTTACATACGTTTGTCTTGAGTAGTCATGTGCGGAAACTTTACTTTTGTTGATTACTACCCAATGCAAAGTTTAAAATGAATGCACAAAATTTTAAAAGTAACCATATATTTATTTAGAAAAGCTTTCAATTGTTTCTATTACAATTTAATAAAAAAAAAAGAAAAGAAAAAAGAATTCATTAGTTAATAAAGCTTCAGTTCCATAAAAAAAAAAAAAAATACTTTTAATTGGAAAAAAGGAATTTATACCACAAAAAAATGTTATTCATTTAAAGCTTCATAAGAATATTTTTTAGAAAAAGGGTTCAACCATGACATAGTATTTATTTAGAAAAGCTTTCATTTTATTTTTATAACAAATTTAAACCAATTTAAGAAAAAAAAGTGAATTTTAAAATAACATCAGTGCAGTAATCAAGACAAGTAAGACAAAAAAAGCTTTAAAAAGGCAGTTAACTAAGTAAGCTTCTGCACATTACAACTCGAGGTAAACATATGTAAACAACACCAGTAATGGCAGCCAGACAACATGAAAGAGATTGATCATAGATTGACGATAAATCATAAATTGTAATCGAGCCCAAGATTTTAATGTCATTTTCAAAATAATCAGGCAGTTTCACACCAGAATGGTACATTCTTATTACTGGAGGTTTTTGGTGCTTATACTGCGAATTAACCAAATGAAAATTTCCCAAATATTATCTATCCCATAATAGTTTTTACATTTGCATACACAAAATATAACTATCAGAGAACGAAAGCAGTAATTTTTTTTTATCCTATAAAAATTTTATTTTACTATTTTAAAAATGTTTGTCTTCAATAGATGTCTAATTGTAGAGAGTTTTTTCTTTTTTTCTACACGTTTTTTTGAGGGAAGTGTATTTTTATGAAGGCCAGACAGTTTGTGTAAATAATTGTTACATTTGTATATCTTTTTCGGCTCAGCAATTAAAAAGCGCCAAGATTGTAAAGGATCCATTTCCAGTTTATAGAAAATTATTTTTTCATATATACTCACCAAAAAGAGACGTGGCCTCAAGCTCTGTTAACAACCTGTGTGTGTGTGTGTGTGTGTGTGTGTGTGTGCATGTGTCTGTTGGGGGGTGGTATGAACCTAATTTTTCAAATATTAAGAACTCAGGTCAGTGGACAAACAGAGAAGAATTTTTAACAGCAAGGCAACATCAAGGAGAAAAAGGCATTTGACATCAAAAAGGCAGTCTGCAGAGAGACTAAAGAATTTTGAACTTCAACTGAAAATTCTCTTGTGGTGGGGCAGCAAAGAACAAAAAAAGAATATAAAGAAATTTTCTGAAGCATGAACAGTGTTAATTTAAAATCAACTTTTCAAAAATTACTATGTGTCCCAGAGATGCTTATGGGGCAAGTAAAAGTAAGTGTTTTCGTTTTTCTCAAAGATGGTTGCACTTTGCCTTCTTGAATTGTTTTCTCTTTTTGTCTCTTTCAAATTCCTTGTCTTTTTCCTAAACTGTAATTCTTTCCATTTTTCAATGGTAATCATTTTATCAGAAATTGTTATCCTGCCTTAATAGGCGCACAAAAGGAAAATTTTTGCGAAAATTTAGTATTTTTTTACCTTTTTCGTAATTGTGTAATAAATGATTTTCCTTTAAAATTTTACAGTGGTTGAGTCTTATTTGTGATTTGGACCTATTATGACTTGCTATTCCTACTAGCCCTGTTTTTTGTGTTTGATACAAGAACTTAGATTTGGTAGAGGATAAAATTTTTATAATTCATTGTGATAAAGAAACATTGAATACATTACTAAAGAAAATATTCTTATTAATTTTTTATTATTCATTTTTGACAAGGATTACTTTCATCTCCATTTCAAATTGCTTTATTTCCACTAGTAGTATTAGTAGTAGTAATAATATCTGGAATTTTGATTAGATGAAGCATTGTCAAGCATTATTCATTTTAGACTAGGATTTCTTTCATCTTTATTTCCACTAGTAGTATTAGTAGTAGTAATATTATCTGCAATTTTCATTAGATGAAGCATTGTCAAGCATTATTCATTTTAGACTAGGATTTCTTTCATCTTTATTTCCACTAGTAGTATTAGTAGTAGTAATATTATCTGCAATTTTCATTAGATGAAGCATTGTCAAGCATTATTCATTTTAGACTAGGATTTCTTTCATCTTCATTTCAATTGCTGTATTTCCACTAGCAGTTGTAATATTTTCTGCAATTTTGATTAGATGATGCATTGACTACCATTATTAATCATTGACTATGTTTTGTTTTCCTAAGTTTTTAGTAGTTATTTTATTTTATCTGTTCTCAAGTTTTCAAATTAAAAAGCAAATGTTAATCAAACTTAATAAGAATGGTTAACAGTGTTTCATTTATGAAATAAGCATTTTTCTTTTTTTATCAACTAGAAATACTTCAAAACTTTGGATACCTCGTTCTGTGTTTGGTATTCCCAAACTGATGGAAGGAATGGTTGGATCTTCAACGTCACTGTAATATTCAATATGCTTTGCCTCCCGAGCCCAAGTATTTTTGACCACAGGAACTGAAATAGAAACAGAAAGAAAATGGGTTAAAAAATAACTGACCTTTACATAACACTCATAGCATTGTTTGGTATACATTTTGATATAACAAGATACATTTATATGTCACTCAAATACTTGTAAAATCTGCAATATCAACAAAGTGCTGTAAAGCTTTAAGCCCAACTCACAGGATACCATGAAAGTTCAGGAGTTGGGCTAGACAATTTTTCTCGCCAGAACCTGTCTTACACATTTATAAGTCTACCATTCATCCATGCATTGAATATATATATATATATATATATATATATTTAGAGATTCTTGATAAAATCCAAAGAAGAATCTGCAATGTCATTGGTCCTGACCTGGCATCTCGCCTTCAGTCACTTTCTAACCGCCATAACGTAGCTTCCCTGTACCTTTTCTATAAATATTTTCATGGTAATTGTTTTGACAAACGTTCCTCTATAGCACCAAGACTTTATGAACTTAAGCACAGCACTAGATTGGCGGCAAGGTCTCATCATTTTACAGTTGAAATTGCTAAATGTACCTGTAAGTTCTATGTTAACAGTTTCTTCTCTCACACTTCTCACCTGTAGAACTCTCTTCCAGCTTCTTGCTTTCCAGTCAACTTTGATCTTCAAAAATTTAAATGCAACATCATTCATTGTTTGCCTCCTAAAATTCTTTTCTTTTATGGTTCTCTCTCCTTAATAATGTTTTCTTTTTCTCATATTCTCTCACACTCAGTAACCTCCTTGTGTCTTAGTGGCTTTATTGCCTTACTTGGGGTGACATGATTTATGAAAAAAAAAAATCCCCAAACACCAGGTTCATTTTTGGGGGGTGGGGGAGGGTTTCCTAGTCATACAGAGAACTTTTTCAGCAGCCTCTTGCACATATGAAAGTGGATCATTAAGTCTGTAGTTCAACATATTATTAAATTAAATTTGATCTAAAAGTTTCATTGTATAAAGTTCAGTTCATGCGATTAATATTCATGAGTGAATTAAATACAAGGAAGGAAGATTATGTTGAAAAATAATTACATAATGCCCCCCTCTCATCATTAAGACTCGGACTTCTTGATGTAGCTACACAAAGACATCTATCCTAAAGGAATAGTTATCAATGGTCAATTAGAGTCTTGTGAAAAACAGATTTTCAGAACAAGTAGATTCTCCAAGTTTTGAAGATTGGTGCAACACAGTCTTCTTATCCACCCTCCCTCAGTGAGCATTGCCCAACAGGAAAGGTCAGAAAACCTTAACTCTCCCAAATGGCATCTTCAATGGCTCCAAATGTTGCTTTGATTTGCAAATCAATTTTTCAATTTTAATTAACTTTGTTATATCCATTTTCCAAGACTTGCTTCAGTTTCTCCAAGACTCACTGCCATATTAAATTCAAACTGATTCCAAATCTATTCATTATTATACACACAAATTTTTAATTCTTTTCCTCGTGATATCTCATCAGTTGGTTCTAAATTGTTAAAGAAATTCTATATTAATTATAAAATCATAGATTGATTTGATTTTTTATGGTTTTAGCCTTTTGCTGGTTATTTAAAGCCAGAAAATATTTTTAGACTGTAATAAATATTATTTACATTATTCAGACTATTGTCCTCATCTTTGTCTCCATATGTATTACAATGTTTCGGCCATAGTATGCTCTGGCCTTCTTCAAGTGGTTGGAATGTCGAACTGAACCCTTTATTTCGCTCACTGGGGTAGACTGTTCTAGTTCCACGTGCCATGTTTAATGGATGTCAGTTATCAGTTATCGCCTGTTAATTCCCCTCTCCAAGTTCTCCACTGCCTTAATCGGGTATTGAACTCACACTCTTTGGGTCCTGTCACTGGATCTAACTAATGTCTTTATCCACTGTGCCATATGCCCTTGAGAAGAAGGCCAGAGTGTACAACAGCCGAAACGTAATAAATATGGCGACAAAGAATAATGTAAATAATGTACATAATACCTCATTTCAGAAATATAGACAGGTACTGTAAGAACTCTTTCAAATAATAATGATTTTACTGATACAAGTTTTACTAATTAACTCGTATCTAGGGGGAGAAGAGGTGAATTTGTACCTTTCCCAAGAGCACTTGTGTATAAATTAATATAAAATTTTTTCCAAAAATACACTTTTCTGAAACTTCAGAAATATTAGCCGTTTTAAGTCATCTGATTTAAAACAAATGTTATTTACTTTAATTTTAAAGTATCGCAGAAATTAATCTTTTTAACCCAAGACCAGCTGTTTATTTAAAGTGTTGATATGCTGATAGTGTGAAGATGGATCTATGGAGACTTTATCTGTAAAACTAAAACAATTGAAGAAAATGATGTGAGTGCCTTTTTTATATAACTTAAAAATTTAGGAATATATTCTCTGTAAGTTAATGTTTTGAATTTTAGAAATTTTGGCTTTAAATTTCATATAATCATTGCTCTTATTTTCTGATAATGTTTTGTATGGTCATCCATATCTATAAAAATCTGCACATTTATACACATACATAAAAAAAAAAAAATTCAAAATTCTTTTAAAAATATTGGTGTTTGATAATTTGTATTAAGCTTTCCCATTTATGATTAGTAAATATAGTTTTTACTTAACAATATCATCTAAAAGGGTGAAATTAATACAGAATTTTGATAGAATAATTTATAAAGTTTTGAAATCTAATTAAAATTTTAAAAAATATTCTTGCAAAAAATCATTATTCATCAAAAATTATTTTTAAGACAATAGTGTCCATCTTATTTATAAAAGCAATTAAAAGCTTTCCTATTTAAATAATGTCTTCGTCTTATTGCATTTTTTATTTTACAAATTAGAGATTTTCAGTAAATGGTGTTTCTGTTTGACAAAGACAAATTGAGGATTTAAATTCTCCAAGGAGTCTTGCTTTTAACTAATATAAATATGTAGAGGGTGGAGTTTTAATTTCTCAAAATTTCATAAAATGAGGTGGAAAGTAACAGATAAAAAAAAAAATGTACCAAGAAAAAAAAAATTTCTAAAATTTATTTCATTCATTTGTGAATAAGTCCTGAAAATTTCATTAAAATCTGACAATTATTTGATTTTTGCAAATGTCTTTTATTGTATTAAAAAAAAAAAAAAAAAAAAAAATAAAAAATTTCCTATACTAATCTAAATTAATACTTTTACTGCTCCATTGCTATAGCATTGTAGCCTGGCTGTGCTGGCTCATTTTCTAGAAAAAACAAGAAACTGGAAATAAATAACTATAAAGATGCTGATGGCAATTTCACATGGGCACTGCAATTTTGGTTTCAATAGGGTACCCTGCAGTACTGACTAGGCTAAATGGCAACCCCAACAGATAATATAACAACAAATATGTCACAAAACAGGTTGTAATAAGGCTACTATGAGTCTACAGCGATTTTGAAATAGCACCAAGTGCTAGTTTATAGCACAAACACTAGTGACTGATATTTCATAGTGTTTTGAAAATGTATATATATGTCAACAACAGGCAAAGTAAGTTTTGTAAAGTATGCCCAGAGCAGTGATAGTGTTGATTACTTCAATAAAAAAAAAAAAAATTACTTCTTTCTTCACGGAATTTCTTACAGGTTTTTACAGCTACAAACAAATCGTCAGGTGATATTGCACGGCCCTGGAGGAAAAAAAAAAAAAAAAAAAATTTTTTTAAAAAGAAATATAGATATGATAATGTGAACATTTCCAGAATTTCTGACAAAATTTTTCCTTCATTAAAATTCATAGCATTATTATTCAGTCATCAAACTATTTTTCTAGTTTTCTCTGATATTCTGCAACATTTTAGCTAAACCATTTATTCCATTATAAAAGAATAATTCTGGTAATGATTTGGTGAATTCTTTAAGGAATTTTTTGGACATGACAAACTTGTTGAAACTGCAGACTAAAGCAGTGTTGCACAAGACAAACCGACTGATAGCCTGATAGTGACAATTCTGGAGAATATATTGCATGTAGAAGAATTTCCCAACTCAGATTCAACATCATTTGCTGCATCACATTTCTAACACGAGGACAGGTGGTGTTTTGTCTGTTCAGAAAAAAGATCTTTTCTCTTTCAATGCATTGACCAATCCACTTTTAATTTCTCTGCACATTCACACAACTTTCATTTGTAAAACAGTTGCTGAAAAGTTCTCTGCTCAACCAAGAAGCTCTTCCCAGGCACAAAATTTCTGATGCTTGTTTAAATTTTATTACATCTGTTTGTTTAACAGCAGAAAAATATCATGGCAAAAATGGATTTGATCTACGGGTTGTCATTTTGCTGATCCCTGTAATAAGGATTCAGCAGCTTTTCTAGTATAAGGTATAAATTATAAAAAAAAAACATTTGAGAAAAAAAAAAAAAGAAGAAATTGACACTTACACATTCAGGGAACTTTGCTGATAACCTTGTGATACAATTGTCTTCCTTGCAAATCTCAGGAACATCTTGAAGGGAGGTACCATTCCCGTCGTTCCATATATACATGGCAAGCTGCAAGAATAAATTGGATGTGGATACAAGGATTCCCTGCAAATGATGTAAGCTGCTATTAAATAAAATTAAAGTTTACACTTTACAAAATTAGAGTTATGAACGGTGTCCCATAATAAAACAGGCTTATGACCACATCATGTTGAAACATGGGTTTTCATAGTATGTTCAATGAAGTTAAGCAATGTATACTATTTACATTATTCGGACTATTGTCCTCATCTTTGTCACCATATTTATTACAACGTTTCGGCCGATGTATGCTACAGCCTTCTTCAGGTGGTTGGACTGTCAAACTGAACCCTTTATTTCACACAGGAAAATTGTCTAAACGTTAAAGATAATAACACAGGTTACGATCCTTCCCTATCTCCTCATTTTTGTTTATTACTACAAATGTTATTATAGTGGAGACACCATGAGAGATATAGAAATAAATCAAAAGGAAAAAAATATCTCAGAACGAACCTCATGTTTTGGATCAATAGAAAAATCTGTCCGCATGTTATCAGGTGGCCAGCGGTCATGTAAACTGGAAAAAAAAAAAAAAAAAAAAAAGGAGAAAATAAAATACAATAATACATAGAATAACTTGAGTAAATCAGTGTCACCCCATTGAGAATGTTTGCAATTTTATGCAATCAAAACAGGTAGGAAATTCTTTATAAAGTTCTTTGCCAAATGTTGATGAAGAGCAGTGGGATTTTGTTGGTTTCTTTGATAAAACCAAGTCAATGAATACACAAATGGAACAATTGCTTTTAGATTTTATTTTATTTTTATCAAGTTCTCTCCAAGCAAGGCAATAAACCACTAAGGTACAAGGGGTTATTGGTTGTTGAAGAATTAGAAAACAGAAACATTACTAAAGAGTGATACCAAAAAAAGAGTAATCAGGAGAACAGTATTGACATTGCATTTAAATTTTTGAAGATCAAACTTGACTGGAAAGCATGAACCCAAAAGCGAGTTCCACAAGCAAGAAGTGTGAGAAAAGAAACTATTAGCATATAATTTACACTTATATCTAGCCATTTTGACTGTAAAACGAAATCTAGCCACCAAACTAGTACAGTATAGGTTACTGAGTGTTATAGAAAAATCATTTCCGATGAGCAAGGCAATAAAGCCACTAGGATGCAAAAGGTTACTGAGTGTTAGAGAATATGAGAAAATCTACTATTAAGGAGAGAGGACAATAAAAGAACAAAAATTAAGACAAGATAATGATCAGCTTTGCATTTAAATTTTTGAAGATCAAAGTTAACTGGAAAGCAGAAGAAGGGTTATACAAACAAGAAAAGAAACTGTTAGCATTGAACTTACAGGTACATCTAGCCAACTCTACTGTAAATTGATTAAACCTTCTTGTTGATTTGTTTTCTACAGCTTATCAACCTTTTGTAGGTTATTTAAAGCCAGAAATTATTTTTAGATTGTGAGAAATTTTTTTTTGGAGGGGGAAATAATGATTTAGTAATTCAAGTCTTACTAATTAACCCATAGCTGGGGAGAGAAGAGGTGGATTAATACCTTTCCCAAGAGTATTTTCATGCAAGTTGAATATAACAAACCCAACTGGAATTGGAACTCAGCTCTCTGTTTAACAATTCTGAACCATTATATTACCTGCACATTCAGGCTGGTCACCCATCTAGGTACTGACCAGGCTCGACATTGCTTAACTTCGGTGATCATATGGGAAGATTGAACAAATGAATGCAGCTAAAGTTAGCTATTAATCTATTGTTTCTCATGTGTAGAATTTGGGTGCATTTATGATATTATTGGCGCCTGGTATTTATTTTTAGCATTGGTTTCACAGATGAAGAAGAGACTTGAAGCAATAAAAATGTGGTTCTACAGAAGGATGCTGAGAATACCTTGAATGGAACATGTGAAGTTTTAGAGAAAATTGAAACCAAAAGGACACATACATTTTTAATCATTTCACTCCAAGCAAGGCAATAAAGCCACTAAGATGCAAGGGGTTACTGAGTGTTAGAGAATATGAGAAAAAAAAAAAAAACTAATACTATTAAGGAGAGAGAGGACAATAAAAGAACAGGTATTTAGAAGACAGAAGATAGCGATTAACATTGCATTTAAACTTTTGAAGATCAAATTTGACTGTGAAGCAAGAAGCCAGAAACAAGTGAGAAGTGTGAGAGAAGAAACTGTTAGCATAGAACTTACGGTTCCATCTCGCAGCCATTTCAACTGTAAAGTGAGTAGACCTTGCCGCCAATCTAGTACTGCGCTTAAATTCATAAAGTCTAGGTATCATAGCAGAAAGTTCATTAGAACAATTATGATGAAAGTATTTATAGAAAAGGCATAGAGAAGCCCCTATTACAGTGATGTGAAAGTTACTGAAGTTGAGATGGCTGGTCAGGACCAATAATATTGCAGATTCTTCTTTGGATTTTATGAATGATCTCTAAATATATAGCAGGAGCGCCAGACCATATGCGGCAGTAATATTCTAAGCAAGGACAAATTGTAGACTTGTACATATCTAAGATAGATTCTGGTGAGAAAAATGGTCTAGTATAACACAGTGAACCAACCTTCCTAGCAACAGACTTCAGAAAGAAGCAGCTGAAATTCATAGGGCACATGAGGAGGAAAGAGGGCTTAGAAAATGTGACACTCACAGGACATATTGAAAGCAAGAAACACAGAGAAAAACAGTACAAGACCTAACTAATGAGGTTGTATAAGTGGATGGCAGAATAGGGAGTGGGAGGGATGGTGAAAAACAAAAAAAACCTTAATTAGAACTACAAAGGATGGGAAGTTGTGGAGAGCCATGATCGCCAATAAACTTTCACAAGTCACACAACCATTGGGAAATATCAAATTAACTTACCTTTTAATTAATGGTAAGCTCATTACAAAACCAAGTGCAAAATTTGGAAAGGAAAACTCGCCAGGGTTTTCAGCAAAGGCAAAATGGTGAATGATCACAGCCGTTTCGTCTGTCAGGGCATTACCTAAAAACATTGGCTGTAGAAAGAACACGTTTTCAGAAGGGAATTAGGAAATGGCATCAATCAATAGTGAAATAAAAATACTTTTTGCATATACAGTTGGCCACCCACCTTATCTGTAGTTTTTCTTTTCACAATTTTAGTTACTCATAGTCAACTATGGAAATGATAAAAAAAAAATAGTTATACTGGTAATTTGGATATAGTAAATAGAAGCTGTGAAGTGTGTTGTTTAAGGGAAAAAGTGAAATTTCTCGAGTCAACAAATGAAAGAGAAAAAGATTATGATCAACAGTGAGAACAAATCTTCTGTCACATAACTTATTGCAGTCTGTTGATAGAATTGTTCTATTTTATTATTAGTTATTGTTGTTAATCCACGATTGCTTCTAATAAGATCTACAGTAAGAATGAATCTTCTGTCACATAATTTCTATTATAGTATATTCTCCATGAATATAAGTGTAATAGTGGGAGATGTAAAAAAAAAAAAAAAGGAAGAGAACACAGAGATCAAGTGAGCGAGAGAGTGGAGCGAACGGGGGAGAGAGAGAGAGAGAGAGTGGAGCGAATGGGGGAGAGAGAGAGAGAGAGAGAGTGAGCGAATGGGGGGGAGAGAGAGAGAGAGAGAGTGTGAGGAATGGGGGAGGAGAGAGAGAGAGAGGGGAGAGAGAGAGCGAACGGGGAGAGAGAGAGGCGAACGGGGAGAGAGAGAGGAGCGAACGGGGGAGAGAGAGAGAGAGAGGGGGAGAGGAGAGGAGCGAAGCGGGGGAGAGAGAGTGTGAGCGAACGGGGAGAGAGAGAGAGCGAGAGGGAGAGAGAGAGAGAGGGGAGAGGGAGAGAGAGAGAGGTGGAGCGAACGGGGGGAGAGAGAGAGAACGGGAGAGAGAGAGAAGCGAACGGGAGAGAGAGAGAGAGGTGAGCGAACGGGGAGGAGAGAGAGAGAGCAAACGGGGAGAGAGAGAGAGAGTGAACGGGGAGAGAGAGAGAGAGCGAACGGGGGAGAGAGAGAGTGTGCGAACGGGGGAGAGAGAGAGAGAGAGAAGAGGGGGGGAGAGAGAGAGAGAGTGAGCGAACGGGGGAGAGAGAGTGTCAATTACCTTTGAGGAATCATATTTTTTCAAAACTTCCACAAGCTGCCATAATTTTATCCGAGCTTCTTCTTCACATATGAAGACCCATGATTTGTCGGAAAAGTTCTCAGCAAACCTGAAACACAGTAAATATTGAACATCTTGAAATACATTTCTGTCATCAAATTCAACAAATCCTATTTTTGTTAATCAAAACATAGTTACTGCTGTTTTGGTCCCATTAATTAACCCTTGGGCCCATGTTGGATGTGAGCATACACCTACATTCTTAGAG